GATGCCTCATGTTCATCCACCGGATCGTCGTACCTGCTACACTCCGAAGAAGAACTCTCACCGCACTGCACAAGGCTCACCCTGGAGGAACCAAGATGAAAATGCTCGCTAGAAGTTACGTCTACTGGCCATCGCTGGACCAGGATATCGAGGATCTTGTCAAGAGTTGTGGAAACTGTCAAGCTGCCGCCAAGACCCCCATCAAAGCGGAACTTCAATCATGGCCTGCCGCCTCTGGACCATGGACACGCGTTCACGCCGACTTCGCTGGACCCGTAGATGGATCGTACTACCTGATTGTAGTGGATGCCTACTCGAAATGGCCGGAAATTCACGAGACGTCAACCATCTCGACGACAGCAACGATGACAATCCTGAAGAAGGTTTTCGCACAATTCGGAAATCCGGAAACCCTCGTAACGGACAATGGAACACAGTTCACGGCAAGCTCATTCCGGCAATTTTGCGCAGAACGTGGAATCAATCACATTCGGACACCGCCCTACCACCCGCAATCAAATGGGCAAGCGGAGCGATTTGTCGACACATTCAAGAGAGGTATCAGGAAGCTTCAAGGAGAAGAACCATCGCGAGAAGCCCTTCAAACGTTTCTCCAAGCTTATCGATCAACACCATGCCCAGCTGGACCGGATGCCAAATCCCCTGCTGAGAACTTTCTGGGAAGACCAATGCGGACGCCCCTGGCTTTGCTGTTGCCGACAACCACTACACCTGGACCGCGCAACGAGAAAATGGAATCGCAATTCAACCGTCATCATGGAGCAAGGAACATTGCCTACGAAGAGGGAACCGCTATTTTCGCGAAGGACTTACGATTCTCCAAGCCAACATGGACCGCTGGCACCATCGTCGAACGTACAGGAAAAGTTACATACCGCGTCAAGTGTCAAGGACAACTATGGACTCGCCATGCTAACCAACTCCGACCTAGGAACGACTGGAACGCAACTGAGACGCTACTGGACCTATATGAAATCCCAATGCCAATCGACATGGATTCGGACTCGGATATCACAACCGCCATTCAAAGGACCCCATCTCCTGTTCTACGTCGTTCAACAAGGATCCCGAAGCCGGTCAGACGACTACAGATCAATCCATCCCGAAACACCTATGTTTCGAACTAGCGAGGGAGATGTTGGAGCCGTGACCTCGACACGTCACGTGACACACCACGTGGCACACGTTTCATAGGAGCGATATAAAAACCCCTTTTTACGCTCAATAATCAGTTATTCATATTTGTGTCTAATAAATATATTCTCTACGTTGGCTCGTTCACAAGGACACAACAATACCTACACGCTTGATGATAAATGTGCAATAAAATGTGTGTGACTCAAAATACTTTTCAAATTCGATTACAGCTTCCGTGGTAGAAATTTTTTTAAATGATTGATTCATGTAAAAAAGGAAACAGATTTTCAGAATTGTAAAAGAAGGATAATTTATTCTTTTCGGTTTTTAAAAAAATTTTCTAGACTCAAATCCATTTTTTAAACCAATATAAAATCGAACTTTCGAATCATTTTTTTTGAAAAAAAAAAGTTGTAATGATATGTTACAGAAAAACTGTATATGAAATCCAGGAGGGGGAGTCTTAACCACGTTTGCAGTGCTGGGGATAAGATGAAAGGAGGAAGAAAAAGGAAATCATACGGCTAATTTAATATGACGAACACATCGAAATTCTTAAACTGTTCTTTTTGTAGAAGCTTATAAGATTTCTATAATATCAATGACCATTATATTATTCTCATAGAATATACAGATGAAATTAAATATAAATTTTTTTCCAAAAAAATACCAGAATCAGTCAATTATTTTATCTATTTGAATTTCGCGATTAAATTTATATATTCAAAGAAGAATTTAAATTGTACTTAAAGAGCAGTAAAGATATACACATTCTCTTGTTATTTTTCACTTTGTTGAAAGCTGGCATCATTCCATGAATTTGTTTATTGGCAATCGAAAAGAAGTTACTTCAATATGCGACAACATTTCCTTATACGACATAACATCCATATAAATAGCATTCATGCCGCCATATTACTAGATAGATGTCCGTTTTGTGGCTAGCTAAGATGACAAATTTGCACCGGCTCATCTTCGAAAAACTAAGCCTGGATTTGGAACACAGGTATTACTTTCTTATCGCGAGTGGGGCTATCATGATTTTTCCTATTTAAAATCGGTATCGTTGAGTGACAAAAATTCGAAAAAGCATTTATTTATGTTACGATTGGCTCATTCATTTAACAATAAAACATATCATCGTGCAATAATTAGAGAAATCTTATAATCTTATAACTTTTGGGAATAAAATATATTATATCTAAAATTCTATTTAAAATAAACTATTTTTAAAATTATGTGCAATTAATTAATTGATGTGGGTAAAGATTGCATATAAATATGACATGATACAAGGAAACTAAAGGTCAAGCTCGTAGGTTATATAATAAGTAGAAACAATTAAAGAAATCGTTCTTGAGTAGCAGTAATTAACATTCATAATAATATGATGAGAGTAAAATCAAGCTTAACGGATCAAAGCGTTAAACAAAAAATACGATTTGTAATAGCATAGCACCTGGTAATTATCATTTATATATTATCAATTTATATATTAACAATTCTGAAATGAATAAACTTAATTTTTGGTTGATTAGTTATGGCATTTGATAAATATAAAAATTGGTCTATTTAATTGAAACTATTAAGAAAAAAAAAGAGCAGCCTTCTTGCAGATTTTGTAAACTTTGGAATTGCAACGGCGAGCGTCCTTCTCAGCACGTTTTCTCTGCTTTTCGATAGTCTTCAGGCAATTACGTTCGATGCGCTCTTCTTCCTTGACGCGCTTCTCGTAGCGATCATAGTACGCAAGCTGAAAATACGAGTTCATTAATTGATCAAATGCTTCGAAGCTAACCGCATCACGAAGGTGGAGAGTCGCCTGAAGCAATCTGTCGATTTTGCCGTAAATACTCACGTAGTAGACCGTCTCCTTACTCTTCTCAATAACCAAAACGTTGCAGACGCATTTAAACAAAATATCCATCTGAAAAAAAGAATAAATGCACTATTTTGATTTTCGAACTGATTCAAACTTTTTCCATTAGCTGGTCGTTATACAAATACGCTACCTGAATATCAGTTACCGGGTAATAAACGCTCTAAACATTGTTAATTTCGATTCGAATTGAATTTTTAAAACATACGTATCTCGTAACAAATTGCGGAGGCAAGTCATACAAAATGACATTGACAATTTTGGCGGCTGCTCTGCGAATATCATTGAATTTACCGCGCAACGTGACATTGATAAAGTTGACCATATTGGGAGACGAGCGCTTTCCGATGTCAATTTTGATCTGATAGTACTTGGCAAACCAGCTGCTGTTCACCTCATTCATATTTCTAGAGCCAAAGAAGCGATTCCAAGCGTCAATCGGAATGACAAACTGAAAAAAAAAACACAAATTATTTGGTATAGAAGGATTGAAATTTTACTGGCATCGATGACTCGTTTGATGAGAGAAGTGGGAGTTTGAAAAGCATGTTGACGTTCGGGGCTGAAATCAAGCTCTTGAAGGAACTGAAGAGATGGACAGAGATTTTAGCAAAATAAAATAAAAAAGTAAATGCTGCAATGAACGCTCAACTTTCAGTTTTTCTAAATGCAGAAATTGTAAAATTCATGCAGATTCCGAGATTTGCTGAAATTCGCGTGGAATGCAAAAGGGTAGACAGAAGATGACAATAAATAACTTCGCGTTTGGTCACCTGCTAAATATTGACCGCTGCAAACACGGAGTGTTGTTCATTCTTTGCGTTCCTAAGTCTCTTCGTTTTGGCTACTATTATTCACTATACATAAAAGTAATTAATATTTTGAGGGTATTGACGGAAAATGTATTGAATATAGTTTTACACGAGCCTTTGATGTGCTACAATTCAATCAAGCGAAAATCTAGGCGAGTCCATAATGTAAAATAGAACAAAAAATCATGACACAAAATAATTTTTAATTTGTAATTACATGGTTCCCTAACATTCTATTTGTTTATACTTCGAATTTGCACTTTAAGAAAAATATTTTAAAAAACGAAACATATGGCTAATTTCATATGAGGAACATTTTCAAGTTGTGCTGACATATATGTAGAAGCTTATAAGATTCCTATGATATCAATAGTCATCTTATTATTCTCATATAAAATACATATGAAGTTAAACTTAAATTTTTCCCAATACGATAAACAAATGAGTAGAAAAAAAGCTCAAATGTTCTTTTTTCCGAAAAAACCAGAATCAGTCCAGAGTCAGCCCATCTCATTTTCAGCGTTATGAGCCTTTAATTAATTAATTTATCTATTTGAATTTCGCCATTGAATTTTTATATTCGAAAAAAAAATTAAAAATTTACATAAAGAGCTGTAAAGATATACATGTTAGGTATAATTGCGTCGCTTCCTTTGGAAACAAGCTGTACCGGGCTTGCAGTTTTTTTTTCAGTTCTTTTTTTTTTCTTATAAGCGAGCTTTGTTTATTATACAATATATTTAAAATTTTTCTCAAAACATTTAAATTTCCTCAACCATTCGGAGGTGCGATTTCTTTCCTATGGGCAATCTGTCATAAAAACAGCTCGTATCTTCTCATTCCATGCTATCTCATATGGGCGGAGCAAACGAAGGGGAACATATAGGCTCCTCCCCTTAATGAGTATCGCTACCTCATTCCATCTTCACACCCTCATCACTACCCGCTGCTCGTCAGCCAAGGATCATCACTAAGGACTACATATCAGGTATGTTATTTTAGATCCTCAGTGATTACGTTTTTGTTTTATTCCTAGATGAAATCTAGCTTTCTATTTCGAGGGTTTTTTTTAATAGGAAACATCCGTAGTTGATCATATAAAAGTTAGCAATCACATGATAATTTGTGTAATTTCAGCAAAACTATCCATTATGGAAAACCACAACAGAGGAGTTCACAATCGTGGCCAGCTCCCTCGGGTTCCGAGAGGTTTTCAAGGGGTTCGCGGTCAGGCATATTATCGTGGCCATCGTGGCCAACGTGGCCAACGTGGCCATCGTGGTTATCGAGGTTATCGAGGTTTTCTGCCAATCCGTCAGAATCCCTCTCGTGTTCCTGTCGTTTTCCGTCCCCCAGCTAACATTCCGCAACACCATCAACCATTCCGAAAAATGACACACATCGAAGTATTCAAGACTGCTGCATTTCTACTCTATTTCCGTCCTGATGATCATGTGGGTTTGCTTGTTCAATTCCTTAAATGCTTGTTTGGTAATGGTATTGAACAATTCGTCTACATCGACGAATTGTTGTACAACCCCTTATTCTTCGCACCCCACATTGTTCTTAATAACCCTTTACGTTTGCCTTCTGGCCAGAAAACTTTCAGGCAACAGCACGTCGTCGAGTTGCTCTTTATCCGCTCGCGAAATATGGACATCTCGAATCTGACGATCGAAAGGGACTTGGCGAGAGAAATTTTCGAGGGAGACGAAGTACGCACTGATGTGATCGAACAAGTCAACAATTTTTACCGCTTCGGAACTCCGTATCAGATGGATCTCTACGAATTGGAAAAAGTGGTATATAGGGCTGTTAATAGTATTTTTTTGTTAAGACACGACTGAAACGTCTTCTACAACGCCGTGAATCAATCTCTACTATCTACTCTCCCTTTTCCCCAATATTATCTACTATACCCCTTTTCCCCAATATGCATATCCATCTATATTCACTTTATCACCGGCTTCTATGAAGTCTTCATTATGCCTGTATCATAGTCAAATATTCTTCTCGGTTTTGATTTTCTCTTCCCAATGAACAACCCCAACCCCCTCTGTGCTATGTTCCCAATGCAAAAATATCCCCGAATAATTGTCTATCGTTTTTTTATTTCTGAAGGTAACCTCTCACAATCTTTTGGCAAACAATTTTCGTAATCAAAATTAATAGTACTATCTTAATGAAGCCGTGAGAGGTTTTTAGCAAATTTGAGAATTTTCGAAGAAAAAAAACAAAAAAAAAAACAAAATGGCAAAGAAACTGAGGTGCATTCCATTATTAAAAAATGCATCCTTTTCCTTTGCTTTAGGTGTTTTTTTTTTTCGAATTTTCAAATGAGAATGAATTTCGGATGTATCGAAAGCAAAACTTTTGATTCAATCCTTGAGACTCTTCTCAATTTGAATTTGTTCTTCGATTCTCCAAATTTCAAATAGTTTATCATCAATTAGAAGCATCTTTCGAATGTTCCCTCTCAGAACCTTTCGCTTTTTCTCTGGAAAATACTTTAATCGTTCACAAACAGATGTAATTGTCTTAAGTGCTATTTCAGAATTCCAGTTTACTTCTTTTTGGGATATTGGAGCCGGGTACAATTTTAAACATGTTTCACCTAATATTTCTCGCTGAATTTGTTTATTGGTGATGAAAAACAATGGAAAAGTAGCTTAAACATACAATTGCCTTTTTTTAATATGAATTATAACTTCCATATAGATACTATCCCTGCGACCATATTACTGCACTGAGACGGATGCCTGATTAGTGGCTAACAAAGATGAAAAAATTGCTCCGGCTCATTTTCGAAAAACTAAGCCTGGATTTGGAACACCGGTATTACTTTCTTATCGCGATTTTTGTGATGATTTTTCCGATTCTAAATCGGTATCGTTGAGTGACAAAAATTCGAAAAAGCAATTATTTATGTTGCGATTGGCTCATTCATTTAACAATAAAACATATTATCGTGCAATAATTATAGAAATCTTATAATAAACTTATAGAAATAAAATATATTATATCTAAAATTCTATTTAAAATAAACTATGTTTAAAATTATGTGCAATTAATTAATGTAAGAATTGAAGTAGCTAAAGATTGGTTAAATATGAGATGATACAATATGAAACCATGATCAAGTTATTAGGTTATATGAAAAGCAAAAAAAAATGTATTAATAGAAACAATTAAAAAATCGTTCTTGAGCAGTGGATAGTCACCATAAATATGATGAGAATAAAATCAAACTTAACGAATCAAAGCGTTAAACCAAAACACAATTTGTGCTTGCAATAATATTATCAATGGTCTTTACAATTCAAGTGGGCCAAGACAAAATGTGAAAGATGAAATAATTAAAGCAATACGGATAAGAAAAAGTAATCATGACCAAGGAAAAATGGATCCAAAAAAATATAGAAATGGAAGCCAATTAATAAAAAAGGTAAATATTAATTTCATTAAGTTGTAATTATGGTTACTTGAATTTTGACCAATTAATATCTTCGAAATTCATGTTAAATAGGCTAAAATAAAACTAACAATTCTGAGATGAATAAACTTAATTTTTGGTTATATAGTTATGGAATTTAATAAATATCAAATCTGACATATTTTTGAAATTCATAAAAATTAATTGAAGCTATTAAGAAAAAAATGAGCAGCCTTCTTGCAGATTTTGTAAACTTTGGAGTTGCAACGACGAGCATCCTTCTCAGCACGTTTTCTCTGCTTTTCGATGACCTTCAGGCAATTGCGTTCGATGCGCTCTTCTTCCTTGACGCGCTCTTCGTAGCGATCATAGTACGCAAGCTGAAAATATGAGTTGATTAATTGATCAAATGCTTCGAAGCTAACCGCATCACGTAGGTGGAGAGTCGCCTGAAGCAATCTGTCGATTTTGCCGTAGATACTCACGTAGTAGACCGTCTCCTTACTCTTCTCAATAACCAAAACGTTGCAGACGCATTTGAACATTATGTCCATCTGAAAAAAGAATAAATGCAATATTTTGAATTTCGAACGGATTCAAACTTTTTCCATTAGCTGGTCGTTATACAAATACGCTACCTGAATATCAGTTACCGGGTAATAAACGCTCTAAACATTGTTAATTTCGATTCGAATTGAATTTTTAAAACATACGTATCTCGTAACAAATTGCGGAGGCAAGTCATACAAAATGACATTGACAATTTTGGCGGCTGCTCTGCGAATGTCATTGAATTTACCGCGCAACGTGACATTGATAAAGTTGACCATATTGGGAGACGAGCGCTTTCCGATGTCAATTTTGATCTGATAGTACTTGGCAAACCAGCTGCTGTTCACCTCATTCATATTTCTAGAGCCAAAGAAGCGGTTCCAAGCGTCAATCGGAATGACAAACTGAAAAAAAAAAACACAAATTATTTGGAATAGAAGGATTGAAATCTTACTGGCATTGATGACTCGTTTGATGAGAGAAGTGGGAGTTTGAAAAGCATGTTGACGTTCGGGGCTGAAATCAAGCTCTTGAAGGAATTGAAGAGATGGACAGAGATTTTAACAAAATAAAATAAAAAAAGTAAATGCTGCAATGAACGCTCAACTTTCAGTTTTTCTAAATGCAGAAATTGTAAAATTCATGCAGATTCCGAGATTTGCTGAAATTCGCGCGGAATGCAAAATGGTAGACAGAGGATGACAATAAATAACTCCGCGTTTGGTCACCTGCTAAATATTGACCGCTGCAAACACGGAGTGTTGTTCATTCTTTGCGTTCCTAAGTCTCTTCGTTTTGGCTACTATTTTTCACTATACATAATAGTAATTAATATTTGGAGGGTTTTGACGCAAAATGCAAAATCGAATAAAAAATCATGACACAAAATAATTAGCACATTGTGATTATATGGTTCTGTAAAATGCAATGTGCTTATACTCCGAAATTGGGAAATTTTTTTAACAACCGAAGAATCTGAAATTCATAAAAATTATAATATTTTACATAATGATGTATTGTCAAAGTCTCGTATACTGTGTGAAGTTGTTTTAAATTTTTCTGCGGTTAGTTAAGAATTAATTGTTTGCTAAAATTCAGAATACGCAGACACCCAAAAGTTTTTCTGCAAGAGACCCTTAGCATACAGCCAATATTTTTTGAAATTTCGTGCGTTCATTTGACACCAACAATCGTTAAATTAAAAAAAATTCTCTCGTTACCGATATATCTCTTCGGTTATAGATTTTGGAAGAAACGTTTAAGAGATTTTTTGGGTCTGTTCGAAAATTTTAAGCAATACCGACAAAAATCTTCAAAAAAGCTTGGAGAATTTCGACGAAATCTCGATAATCTGAAAGTTTAGTTTCAATCTGAAAGTTTAGTTTATTTATGTGATATTGCTGCAAATCTTTCGCACCACAAATTCGTCCGCCCTTGACAAGAAACCGATCGAAGGCATTGGCAACCTGTTTCGAACACCACGCGCCCGCGGAAATACGAGCGAATGGTTAATTTTTGGGCAGTTTGTAGCTTACTGCAAAAATTAAATCACCTCTGAAAATCTGTCAGAAATTCAAGCATGCAATGACGAATACATTGATATACATTTCACCGAATAAAGTGCTTACAGTACCGAGATAAATCAATTTGAAAATTGCGCTAAATTATCGCCCTGTCAAAATATTTCCCCCCTTTCCGCATTGTTCAATGTGTATTTTCGCGTTTGTCACGTAATTTCGAAAACCTCCTTTTTCAGTGTGGCCATATTTTACTGTATACTGTACTGTTAACTAGGTACAGTAAAAAACTTGCAAAAGCTGTTGAAAATTGCTCTTCATTACAGACAACAATATACTTTTAAAATTACAGTAAAGAATTGTAATACTGTGAAGTAAAATCAAAAAAACAAAAAACGGATTTCAATGCAAATATCACTCTGTCAGTTGCATTTTTTGAAAAGTGTCATTACGTATTTCGAAATTGATTTCAACCAAAAATCAACGAGTTTTGGAATTTGTCTTTTCATATTAAATTTTTCTACTTTTAAAATTCCAAATTCCAATACTTCTATTTTTGATTTTTTTTAAATTGAAAACAAATATTCCTGTTTTCAAAACCATTTTTTTTTGGAATCGCATTTTAGATTATTTGTATTGAAACATGCATAGTTACCGATAATTTTCAAGCCATTTAGCGATCCATATCGTTTTATGGAATTTTTAACATACGAAATTAAGAATTGATAATGTATAATTGAAGAAAATAATAAACCTCTGGATAAACTTCATCCTCGAAATTTATCATTATGAGAAAGTGCCTATATTTTCATGTTGATCTTGTTCACTTTTTTCTGGGCTTTGGCATTTTCTTTTAACCTGGTCACGTACTAAGTGCACTGGGTTCCATACGATTACTAACCGTTTTTTGTCAAGCGATTAAACAAAAATAAAATTTTAAAAAATGTCACCGATAAATTTAAATATACACCGCCTCGTTTCAATCGTTTGACAATATCAGAAAAAAAAGAGAGTCATTGCTAATAACGTAGAATAATTTCTCAACATCTTATGTCATCTTCTCTCTTGGGAGACTTATGTTCAAATCACCATTTTTATTGAATGAAATACCCGATGCACCATAAAAAGTAGAAATGAATTTCCCCCAAAAACCATTGAAAGCATCACCTGCTCCATCTGGGGGTCATTTCTTTTGTTCAATTCTCTTAATGGTATCGTTTGCAGATGGAGTTCATAGAAAAAAAAAACTCAATGAAAACGCGAATCGTTATGTTTTCGACCATTTGTTTTTTCGAGCAAATTCAGTTTTCAACATGACCAACGAACGCCCGCATGTTCGCTTTTCTGAAATCAATGAACATATCGGTATTAGTGATGCTGAAAACAACGAATTCGTGGAGGCCGAAAACGACAATGATAGTAGCCTCTTCAGGTAACATTTTATAGTTCATGTTATATAACAATTTCGAAGAGGTATTCAGAAAAGTTAGCGATGTCCTTCATTTTTTGACATGCAACATCTTCAACAAAACTCCGGAGCAGTCGGTGACCTTTCAATTGCTCCCAGTAACTTAATTAATATGTAGTCTTATGTGGTAACTATTCGTGTTTTTTCTCAGATATCTCGCAATTACGTAAGCGAACCGAGGCGCTTCTACTATGTTGTTCCAAGAGACCGCGCGACTGAGAATGTATACGGAAGTCACATCGATTTGTGAGTAATACATTTTTGGAAAAGTTGTCAAGATAGTCAATTTCATTTTTATATAAAACGAAATCAGAATAATGGAGAGAGAGAAAATTAATGAGAAGTCCAATATAAAAACTAGAATGTGCATTATTCAGGAACCCACCAGCGGTCTTCGACAGTGTTTCCACTACTCCATGAACCATACTAACGTATTAAATATGTTATTCAAGGACATAAAGTTGTGTTTGAACATATTTACAAACGATTTGAACCCATATACAAACGGGTCGTCTCGCATTCATCAAAAAATTGATACAGTTATCAGGTTAAGTAATTTTTTAACCGAATTTCATTTTTTTTAGAGGTGGATAAAATAATTTATGTTTACAAAGATTATAAAAGAACTAGGTAATAGTTTTGGCTATTAAATGAAACTACTCGGTTTCTACTAGCTGGTTCAATCAACGATGTGAATTTTGTTCATTCAGATGTTTATGTGATCACATAATTGAAGAAAATAAGGAATTAATGAATTTCAGCGACATTTGTTACTAGGTGAAAACCTTCTAGAAACGAAATAAACCACTGTCATTTTTCCCATGATAAACACTGTTGCATATATTATCAGAATTTATTAATAATTTGAGGTTAAAATAAATAATCATCCAATTATATTTTGAAGTAGAAGAAACAGTTAGAAAGGTATTAGGATGAATATGATTCCGATTGAATTCCATTGTTTACTATTCGACTGGTGTCAGCGCATATCTTCTCTCGTACTTGTCACGATGGTATCGAGTTTTCGTCGCTACTGCCGCCTGTTAATTTCTCTGTATTGTCTTGATTTTTATTTAAACTATTACCGCTAATATTTTGGCATCTTCCGTAGCGCCCTGATAACCAGTCACTAAAGTTATTACCGGCGGATCTTCAACATGCGGTCCCGTCGGGCTGCAAAAATTCAATTTGATTTGATGAGACATCCTTGTTATTTTCACATCATTGCTCTTTTTCTGTTCCGCATATCGGCCATATCCGTGAGGTAGTCATCCGGCTAAAATTAAATATTATTGGCTCATTGGATCAAATAGATCAATTTACAAAAGCCTCATCGTGTTGTCTTTGAACTTCCGGTGGAGAACGTCTAAAAATATCCAATGACAATTATTGCAGTTATTTGAAACGAACATATCTCCGAAGGTCTGCTCAAGATTGAGTTGGATCACAGAAGCTGACGCATTGATCACAACATGTTTGGTTCCTTTGATCTTCTAATGCATTGGAAGACGAACTTGCCAAAAATCTTGATGAAGAAATTGAGAACTCTGAAGAACATCATGGGCATGCTTATTTAATTAAGAAACACACCTTTTGAAACATTTGTTAGCCATTGCTAGAAAAGGGCTCAATCGCAGCTTTCGACAATTGATAAAATGAAACTCTTAAAGAAATGCGAATAAAGAGGCGTTACTAAATGCTTGAATGATTTTGATAATTTTCGACAATGTTATAAACTCAGTGAAAAACATTAGCTGATTGTCTGAGATAGATGTCCCTTATGTGAGTATTAATAATAAAAAAAATAAATATACACATGGATACCAAAACTTATGAGTCACAATATGAGAAAAATCAAGTTCAAAATTATTTCGAGAGAAAAAATGTTTTGAAAAACATTTTTTATAATAATTAGTAATCAAGAATAGTCTCGAGAATTGTAATGATTTAATAAGATTGCTTTGAAAACAAGTGGCTACAAATACTCATGGGATGTCTGGTAAACTTTTCATTTTCATATGAATAATTTTTTGCTCTTTACTATCATGGAAAACAAAATTCTACAGAGCAAAAGATGTGAAAAACGTTATACTCTTTTCGCGGAAAAATGATACGATATTAATTGATTTAAAGAACGCTAAATGAAATATGGAAAAAAGGGTCTCGAGACATAGAGACGTGTGCGTGTCTGCGTACTCTGCATTTTAACATACGCGCATTGAATAATTTGCCACGCGTAAATTTACACATTCTTAGATCTACACTGATTTTGCGAAAATGAATTTCCCGCCACCGATCTGTCAGTTGTCATCGACAATATGAGCCTGTGTACGAATTTTACACATTTGCAGAACAACGTACAATAATACGTTTCGCAAATTTGGAGAAATGATTTACTAAACTTGATGATTAGAGTTTTTCTCCAGTTGTTTCGGATGAATGGCCTAAATATTTAATTATTAGGGGGATATTGTAAAAGACTATTTTTCCGTTACTAAAATCATTACTTAAAATTTAAAGGTTTCAAATTTTTTCTTGCTTAGGTCTTAGTAATTTTCCAATTCAATTTTTATATTTTTTGAATATTCTCCCTGGACCATTAAAATTGTGTTTCATCAACATTTCTCATTCGAATTTGTAGTGCTACGATTAAAAATGATACAACTTTTATAAGATTTTTGTCATAATGTTATAAAACAACATTTACTTTCCGAAGCCCAAAATTTATAATTTCATGAGTTCAAAACATTATGACGGATGATCACATGATAATTTGTCGTATTTCTGTTTGAAGAATCTTGATAATTTTTGCGCTCTAATAAACCCAAAAGGATCTGCCTATTCCAGCTTGTTTAGCGATGCGAAGCATCAATTATTATCGGAATTATGCGCATTTACTTGTGATTCATTTTTCTTCTTCGAAAAAATACGGAAATTAACCATATTGTGCACCAGAATGCCATTTGTTTGGGTATTGGTAATAGATTCCCAGATCTTTCGAGTGATTGTCTTTCAAATCCACTAAGGTAGAAAAACATGCAAGCTTATATTTATTTTTCAAATTGATAAATAAAAACAGGAAAAATAACGAATGCAACAAAATATTAAATTTCTAGATGGATTGGATGACTTCTTTGCTGCTCCATCATTCCGCGAGCTCCCAAAAGAATGGGCATAGTGCGACGCTCTTGAATTCCGAGCGACAGCTGAAATAAACAAATTGACCATTATTGAATGATTGTATGATTTATACCGATTCGATTGTCTCCACACGCGTTCTCGTCGGCACTGAACGACGGAAGCGACACGACGACAACCTATCCCAAATGCGTCGCAGGCAATTGATCACTCTTCTGTAACCAAAAATTAAGCGCTCGAATAGGAATATCGGCTTCTGCTTACGTTGTGAACGGTTGGCGCTCTCTGCGGAACAGCAGACCTTGCGGCTTGATACGGTTGACCATCACCCAGCTAAATTTTTAATGTATGAGATTCTCGATTTGTTTCATATTGAATGACATATCGTTGACGTAATACGACTACAATTTGGATTATATGCCGCTAAAAAATTTCCGAGGGCATTGTCATAAGTATCAAAACATCCACGTGAGGAATATGCGATAAACAAAGATTCTCTAATTTGTTGAGAGAATCAGTGGAATGGGCGGAGACACAAATTGCGAACTGAATGGATGTTGATACAAACTGTCCCAAGAGAGATGAAAAAACTCGAGAGAATGAGAAGTGATTGAGATGCTTTATTTAAATAATAATAATAATAACCGGAAAAGGAAATCAATAGTTCTTCCCATTAATTCAAAAATTATTTAGTTTTGAAAGGATCTGAAAGAATATTTTTAAAAATTTCTAGAAAAATTTGTTAGGTGACACTGAGTTGAACTATTTATTTTAAAGATTCCGAGGGGATATCGTTATAAGCAACAGAGATAGGTACTATTTGTGAAACCTTGAGTCTCAAACTGATATTTCCAATATTGGGATAATTTTATTATCTCTACAGTAAGTTTTCTTCTACCTATTAACTTCTCGTACACAAAATATTTGGGTGCCACAATGGGTAGGCTCAAACAACAGGAGTCAAATGGTGAAACAGTCTTTATCACTCTCCACCAATCGCAATTAATGGGGGACCATAATGCATTGTAGAGACAGTTACTATAAATCTAATAATTGATAAGCTCGCAGATGAACCGCCGCAAAATCAAACCTCTTGTCACGTCTTTTTCAGAAATAAAGTATGCTTCCAATAGTAGTCAGAAAAAATTTTCGGATCTGATCCGATTCTTGCACGTGACCAATATTAATGGAGTTGGTTATTTTGCATTCTACATCACTATAAAGTTTATTATTGCTAAATATGTCCAGGAACTGATAATCTTATTAAGAAAATATAAGCAGTTAATGCGAAAATAAAAAAAATCGAGAAAATAATGAAAGAGGCACGCTTGTTTATCCATGCGCACATTAACCGATAAATGGCGACTGTATATGTTATGTCGTTAAATTTCTGAAAGTTTTATTTTTCAACATTATTCTATAGAACTTATATTTAAGAAAACACTAAATACTAGCTCAATTGTGTGATGGTCTTGACTTTAGAACGAATATCTAAAACTTGTGTGGTTTATTTTAAATCAAGTGAATGTAGGTTGCAAGGATTCAACATGAATTAATTTTAATGAATGGATTTAGGTTATTAATATTTTACGTACAAATTATCTATTCGTTCACAAAATCAGGAAATTTCTGAAACAAAGTAGAAAAATTAAATTCTTTCAAAACATATTTGAAATATTAAAAATCGAGACATAACAATTTTTAATGTTTTTTTTAATCAAACGCAAAAGACGGACATCGCCGTAAAGAGCATGTTTGTTCGATGTATAAGAAAGTCCGGCCTATTATACATTACCTTCCTCCCCACCAGCCCAAATAAAACTTAAAAAAAGAAAAGGATCATAAAATTATCTGAACTGAAGGAGTTCCTCAGAAGAGATCTGGTGGTGCCAATAATCTCGCATTTGGAAATGTTTGTAGTTAACCTGTGATATCCAACAGATTCTGAAGCCACAAGGCTCAAGGGGGATAACCTTGTCATTGGTAATGGCCGAATGGCAGCACACTGATGACATAATGAGCAATCCTGATTGGCGAAATATATTGGCAGCACCGAAGATAGCCATTCATCGGTCATTGATGCAGCTGTTAAGCCACAAAAATTCCGGTATGCTCTTCTGCGATGGTGACCTTGGAAATCGGTTCTCTTGAAACCCAAAATTCATTTATGTTTGAGCCCTTGTTACCAGAGGTTTAATTATAGAACTATAATCACTTAATTTGAAATGAACCACAGAAATTTTAGATGATCATACGGCTTCCTACAAAATTGAGCTAGTATTTTGGTCTTCTTAATTTTATTTTTATTCTCATGGAAAATAGAGCAGCGTCAAACAAAAAAATACTGTCGCCACTAGCTGATTAATATACACTTGTAGATTTATAGGCATGCTGCTCTCACTAGTTTTTCGAATGAATTCTTATTCATTTTCATTTTTACACGAACTCTTCATATTTTCCAGATTTTCTTTTCTTTTCCTTTTTAACGTCATTAAGAACTTTTGCAAACTACTAGAATGCAAACTAGCCAGTCCATTCATATGGATTCCGTACAAGCACATAATCAGTTCCGTTCTAACAAAGAATTGTGGTCCCACTACCCACAAGAGGCCGCGAGGGAACGATGAAAATGAAACTGGTTTGTCTCGTAGTTTGAACTTACCCATTATGGCGGCCAAATTATTTGAATGGCACATAAGTACAGGGTGCGGCAAAGATACGTTTGCATCAAAAAAAAAACTTTTCCATAAATTATAAAAAGTTGTTCAAATTGACAGTACACTTTATTTGAACATATAAGAAGAACGAATTAATCAACATTGTTCAATTCTTCTTCCTCGATTTTTGATGGCCTCCTTCAGACGCTTCGGGTAGACGTCGATGGTGGCACGCAGCTAATTGACGTCCAATTTGTCTCATTCGCTCAGAAGTGCCGCTTTAAGCGAGTTCAGATTTGGGTGTATGAAAGCTAATGTCTTCTTTTGCAACCTCTTCCTAGACCGGTAAAGAAGCCTCCTGTTTCCAAAATTGGTTCCAAGTGTTTTGAATGGAGTTTCAGTGCACTCCGATGATGATCGAAATCACCTTCCCCAATGTTCCCCTGCTTTCAAGTCGATGATTGCGTCAGCTGTCTTTTTTTTCTGTCATACAAAACCAATCTCCAAAAAAAAAACCCAAGAAAAACAAAAAAAGAAAATGATTAAAAGATCACAGAAAAAAAAAACAAATAACAATGTGCAAAAGATGCGTAAGTGACGTATGAGCTTGCGTTAAATTGCACACGTAATTTTGCCGCAGCCTGTATAAGCAAATATTACTACAAGATGACATAATATCTAATAAATAATGCCAGTAAATGTTATTAGAATTTGATGGCTTTCAAAATAGAGACTATTTCCGCATGAAACGTTTTTTTTTCATGACTGACTAAGTTGGCACGGCACGTACGAGCAGACACGCGACTCGGCGCAGTGGTTAATTAGCTTCAAGAATGAGGTCTAAATCTGTGCGCTCTTTTTATTCAAAATTATTTGCGCATTTTGAAAATAAGGATCGACAAGTAGAAAAGATTGAAAGCCAAAAAGTGAAGGTGAATAATATTATTATCGATATTAAATCAGTTTAAAAAGTTCATAGGCTTGCTTTCAAGTTAGGAAGAGTTTGGCCTTTTTTGAAGAAAATTTTGAAATTACTATGAAATTTACTACTTGATGATGTATTTTTACTACGATTTTTAATGCAAAAATTTGTCGCCATGTACCTCCATTATTAGTAAGTAATTCTAAATTATCTTGAATTCTCAAAGATCCTTCATTGTCCTAGTTACTAACTGATATTTCAGAATTTTTATTTTCATATTTAAAGAATGAATCACTAAGAACATTTCTGAAATCATAATTTTTCTTCCAGACATGAAACTTTGTTTATAGTAGTACTTGAAACAATTATAATAGAATTGGTAACAGAAGCATTGATCTCAATAAGAACGTTTCGTCACCAGAATGGCTGACGCATTTAATTGACTAATTGGTGTTGAATAGAAGCTAAATTAACTCTGTGGATAATTTTGCGGCATAATTTTCCTAATTATGTGAATAACAATATTTTCTAGGCCATTTTCCAAATTTCGGATTTTCTTAAATCAATTATAGATCATTAACATGTGGCATCCATGCCTGCGAAAAAAAAATCAGACAGATGATTTCGAGACACTATTTTTTGATTCTTTGTATTGTCGGAAAAAAATCGAAATAGTAACGGGTGTGAAATGTGCCTTGGCCGAATAATTCGCGGCCGCAGGCGAATTGCGAGGAGAATGGCTGCTCTAGTGGGCGGCGCCCGCAAAGATGCTTTAAGCATTTAGGCTTGAGAATCCAAAAAATGGAGAAATGTGAAACTGACAACTGTTTTAACTGTATAATCTTAAGAAACAGAATTAAAAAATTGATGTTGAAGCTTCAATAAATTAACTTAAAGAGTTCTTCGAATCTTCTAATTTTCCATGTTTCTTCATAGAAACATTAAAAACAAACTAAAATAAAATTTCTGATATCCGGATTATAAATGAGGCAAAATGAAACTTGATGTAATGAACGAGTTCGCACAAAGATCTTGTCCTTATTTTTTAAATAAAATGTTTTATCTTATTGAAGGGCAGAATTATAATGTGCATAATTATGTGTATGTACTTAAGTTTTTAGTAGTCCTTTCAACTGAAATCTTTTTATCAATCGTCTTAAAAAAATTTGGTTTATCCAGCTTTCAGGTTTTTTTTTTCTCTGTACCAAAAATATGAAATTAATGGTTTTATCCAGATAAAAAAAACCCAAAAATACCTTTTTTCAGTATTCTTAAAAAATCTGCATAGCACCATAACGAAACATAAGCATAGATAAAGTACAAAAATATGCGTTACCGCCATCAAATAAAACGTTTTTTTCGAACTAGGAATGACGAGTAGGCAAGGCAACAATTATTTACATGAATAATTTTGATAAAATTGCACTTTAAAATAAAAATCTTTTTGTTCGTTTAATAGGTCTTGCTTAAAAAACGAGAAGAGAGGAACAAAGAATATCATCGTAGTTCAATGAAAAACGACAATTAAGTTCATAAAATTAGTAGAAAAAGTATTCTGGACTAATTGCTTCAATTATTTATGTGTTGGCACGGTTACCATAATAGAAGTCAGAATTAATTGCTAAATACTTTATAGTCATTGTTTCAAAAGTAAAATGTTTATGTTTCTTCTTATATGTTTTGATAGATAATAATCACTATTTTTTTTAACAATTAATCAATAATTATAATCAATTGTATCATTTGTACGGCCACGCACCGTTTTAGCAATGGAACAATTTTCTTTTTTTTCTTGGCAATATGCCTTTCTTCCAATTTCTTTTTCATTAAATCTTTAAACGTGTTCCATTAATACAATCCTATCCAATTACTCAGAATCCGATATATGAATATATATTTTTAAGTATATTCTAATTTTGAGAACCGTCTATAGAAAAATTACTCATGCAATGTTAATTAGTATCATGAAACGCGTTTAAAACATATATTTTCAATAATCAGTTTTTTTGTTCATTGATCTACACGGATGGCAAAATCTTTTGATTTTTTGGTATTAAAAGAGCAGCAAGGTTGATAAACGGTGACATATTAGGGGAAGATCAATTTATAATCATCTAACAAAAAAATTGAAAAAAATACAGTTCATCAAATTTAGAGAAAAATAATTAAAACGTATTCGAGAAATTAGACCAAGTTTTAGAGAAAATCAATTTGACTTGAAAACTGAAAGTGATAAAAAATACTGGAAACGCGAAATTTCTCGAAACATTAAGTTCTTTCACGGTAACGACAAAAAATCACTTTAATGGTGCCGGAAATGTCGGAAAACGCCAGAACCAATGAAGAAAGCTTTCACAAGTACGGGTACATTCTCAAAATAATTGGTCAATTATTCATCGCATTTGATAATTTGACAAGTATGTTTTCAATTAAATAGAATGATAAAAGACATGAATGTTGGCAAATTTTCAATTATTTATTAATTGGCATTCAAAACAATATAACCCATATATTTACAGTAAGAAACATTGAATTAATTCATAGTACAACCAGCTGAACGCACTGCGGTGCAGCATCCATTGTAGCTTTCAGTCAGCGATTGTATCAATGTGATGCAAGCTTGCTGAAATCTCATATGTTCTCATTTGTCGGGTTTACCGTTTTGAACCTGCGTCGAAACGTTCTCATAAGTTCTTTTGGCGTTCATATAAAGATTCACATATTCTGAGCACCAGTAAGGATCATTCAAAGAGCATTTGTCTGCAATATTTTGTGTGTGTGTGTACTGTTTACGTTGGTCGGATATGAATGAACGTGGTTTTATTTGAGGTAAAAAATAAACATGGACAAAGTCGAGAAGAAGAAAATCATTTTGGGTGAAAGACAAATATTGCAGTGCAAACGAAAATGAGATAGATGCGATTCACTGTTATGTACAAGACGTGCCGTTAGTTTCGGTGATTATCTACCAATTGTTGTTTGACCGTAAGGGTTCGAATTGCTGCCGCTCGGATTGTAGAAAACCTGCGAGTTTGATGATGAGCTCGGGAGGTTGTAGTTTGTGCTTGTTCTAAAAAGAATTTCGATTATTATACAACGTTCCAACTTTATTTTTTTAGTTAGGATGCGAAATGATTATATTTTTGATCCGGTGAGTTGGGATTCTTTTCAAAATTTTAGCCAACTCACCGGTATGGATAATACATTACTGTGTCATTTCCAGCAACGTCAAAAAATCTTGCATTCGAATTGCCTTGGCTTTTTGGGTATGAGCGGTAACTCGACCTTGAATCGTAATAGACTTGCTGTTGATTTCCTGTGGGAGCAGCTCCAGAGAGTTCAGCAAGAGTCGGTCCAGGAAGTGGTCCAGTTCCTCTCAAGCGAATTGTAGCTCCTGGCATTTGCTGATCTCTCAAGGTCGTCGTCTTCAAGTCCGACGCGCTCTGATAGACTGGCCCCGAAGCAGGCTGATCGAATAGTGTGTAATACTGGGTGGATGCTCCTTGATCATTGTAATAAACTTGAGTAGGATTCTGATTGTATTGATTGTCTCTATATGAGCTGAATCTGTTTGCTTGCGAAGTCGAATATTGGCCGAATGGGTAAATATAGGGCTGAACATTGGCATTGTTAGACGGAGCTAAAAAAAAAATTACAAAAAACGGTTCTATATTTAACTTTCTGCAAATCGTTCTTTAAGAATTACAAAAGTAACCTGAATACTGGGGCTGATTATTGTAGTTCAAGTTCGTTGCTCCATTAGACGACGGAGATGAGTATTGATATCCATAAATGTTGGTATTACTTGACACTGAGCTCGTTGGATTTCTCTATAATTGTAGTATTTATTCACATATAGCTTCTGCGAAATAGTCTCGTGGTACCTGTTGAATCTGTTGATAATTGATTTGATTCTGTTGATCATTCGAAAGTGGAGGACCAGTATAATAACCATTAGCTGGAACATTAGTAGAGCTTGTCACAACACCATTTTGTCCTCCTAAACATTATCAGTTGATTTGTCGAATCACTAAACAACATACCACTTTGATCGTATTGCCTCAAGTTTTGCTGATAGGTTTGAGCATATGCACTTGCAAGTTGATCATTAAGAAATTGATAATTTGGATTTTGAACAAGCGAAATTCCGTTGTTACTGGCAGCACTGTCGTAATTGTAACCATAAATATTGGTGTTCGATTGTGCTGATGCAAGTGCAAGAATGCAACCTTAAGTATATTGAATATAACCATTTTTTTCAACAAAATTTTATTTACCTAGCAGAAACTTTACCGTCAGCATTGTTTCTAATCAGCGAGAATAGAATTGAATGGAATTTTTAAACTTATATAGTGTCTAAGTTTACCTCAGAAACTAGTCATCTTATATTTATATTTAGAATGTGGGCGTGGTAAGTTACAAATAAAATAGAAAAGTTTAGTTCGGGACCAATTGTTTGTTGTCAATGGCGAGTAAACAGAATTCGCAAAATCTTTCAACTTCTCGAAACAAAATGGCTGTTCGTTCTATTTGTTATTTTGAATGGCATTTGGTGCATCTTCTTCAAATAATCTGCTTTAATTATTATTATTATAATCAAATATATAATAAGAGTTTTTGCGTGGTACTAAAGCTGAATTACAAACAAACATTGTCGACGCTTAATCTTCCAAATAAAAGTAAATGTTAACAGCAAAAAACTAGACTTCACAAATTTTCCGAATTCTCTAGAAATACTATTTTCATAGTGGAATTTTTGAAAATTATTACCACAATTAATTGCTTTAATGAATTGACAAAATCTACACTTTGAAAACTTGAGAATTTATCAATTATTTAAATTATGTTTTTTTTTTAACTACAAAAAAAATAAAAGGCATTTCGATCAACGGGTAGAAATTTGAAAGAATTTGGATAAGAAACATATGAAAAAAAATGCATTTTTGATATAAATGAAGGATACCTTTGCGAATGATTTGCGAATGTTTTTATAAGTTTATACGAATTTGAGTACCGCTTATTTCTATGAATCATCCAATTTTACGCACCGCAATGAATCAAAAGACGGATATCACTCTCTGCTAATGGCAGGTAGTGGTAGCAAATGCATTGGATAGACTGTTACGGCAAACCAATGATTGTTAGCAGACGGGGCTCTTGCCATCCTTGAGGTCGCAGCTGAATGGCTGATTAAACTATGTAATTATGTAGAGCACTGTACTTGTCAGGCAATTCCTGGAAAAAAAATCAAGTATTAATTAAATAGTGCACAAATTAATTTTTGGAACTGATCCTGATTATCTTTTTGCGGAAATATAAACATTTCACGTGAAAATTAATAAACAAAAAAAGCACAACAATATTATATTTTTGGAGGTTGTAACAATATTATCTTTATCATCATTCTTGCTTATAGCGGTCGAATCAAAGTGACGCACGAAATTATTGTCCGAAGACTGGGATAATTTTATTATCTATGCAAATATAATAAAATGTTCTCGAGAAATATTTTGTGAAATTTGTTTTCTTGTTAAGATTACAAATTTATCGACGGCTTTTGTGTTTGGGCGAATTTTGTTTTTTTTTTTTTTTGAAATAAAATTCAAATCGAAATTCTTGACTTCAGGGTTTCACACACTATTTGTAGTTCGCGGTTTTGAGAATCGAAAAACAATTATATAAATTTGTTTTCATTTTACTTATTTTATTGATTCATTAACATTTTGGATTTGTCTTTAAAATTTGGTCTCAAATTTCATTCTTTTACATTTCATATATTTCTGTTTTTTGATTAGATGTTTACGATGTCTCAAAGATGGGGGATTTGAACTTATTCTACGAATTTCATATTATCAGCAGCAAGACGTATATATGTGGAACACAGTGTTATGGCTTCTTTCAAGGTTTCGAAATTCCTACAATACAGCGAATTCTTATTCTCATTTAGTTGCTAATGGTGACGTTGGACACCATTCACAACATAAACTGCGTTTTTGAAATTTGTCCCAAAAGCTAAATAATGTTTACAAGCATGGACTTTTCACGATGTGCAACATGTCTCGAGGATTACGGTATACATACTTTGCATACAATTGTGATATTGATTTGCAGATGATAGTGCTCACAGGCCATGCATTGGTTTCTGCGGACATTCGCTTTGTCTGAAATGTCAGACGCGAATTGTGTATTTCAATTTTGTTTGGAATTTTCTTTTTAATTAATTTTTGGTTCAGAAGTTGTCCATTGTGCAAAAGAAAAAATGCGTTTTTCGGAACTGTCTTCAATTATCAACTTTTGGGTAAAATCGAGACATTTTCAAAAAATCAATACGACTTCAGACGCATGTGTTGCCCTGCGTCAAATAATGAATGAAAGTAAATCTCCGAGTCGTTCACGATCCACTGGAAAACGTCCCACTGAAACACCAAACATTTCTCAGCAGGCAGCTTATAACACGACAATCGTTCTCCAATAGGAAACATTTAGGTTGTCAATGCGACTAGAAGAAGTCGACGAAATGCTCTTGAATCTTCTGTGGATAAAGCCCAGCAAAGAGGTTCGATTAAAACATTTGAAAATGTTTGACAATTAATATTCAAGAAGTGGAAACCAGCTGGATCTCGCAGCATATTCCTCCGCCAGAATCACGTCGACGTGATCGATCATTGAGAAGAATGTCGGTGGCTCCCTGTAACTATCGCACGATATACGCTGCTGTACCACAAGAAGTTGGAACTTCACTTTTAAAATGATTGCTATTTAAAACTCAAAATTACAGAACTATGGTCACGGAAATCTTCCGTCAAATTTTACGAGAATTTTCTTTGGACGATCGTGTTTCGAAATATAAATCAAGCTCGTGTTTATTTTGCTTCCAAATAAAATGTGTGATGTGCGCGTTTGATGACAGCTGAAATGAAATGTTCGCACGCATATTGGATAACGGTGTTCTCCGTCAACTTTTTCTTTCAAAAGTTCTCATTTCTGTCAAACCACTGACAAAAAATTGATATATACTGAGAAAGAATCTAGAAGTTGTTGACTCCAAGCCAACTATTGTTTTCAGTCACCAGATTATAAATGATTCAATAATTTGCAATTATATATTTATTTCTATTTGCCAATTTTCTGACTTTTCTAATCAAGTAATTTTCTAGACTCGAAATGTTGATATGGTCGTTCGAGTGATGTGAGATTCGTAAGAAGATATCTTTTAAATTAACTTTCTAAAAGAAAAGTAGGTGAATCACTAAAACGGATCATGTTTCGATTGACGTTTTCTTATTCGTTTGTTATTTGCGTGAAAATCTTTTCTATTATTCCATTCTAGATGAAAGTCTTCATTCTGTTATTGGCCCTGATTTTTATCCTTGAATCCGTCAATGCTCACTTCCCAATATATAGCCTCTATAAAGATCGAAAGCCAATGGATGTGGTAAAGAATTTCAATTTGTATTCGAAATAATAGCCCAATCATTCAGTTCCGTGTCATCTCATCAGCACGTCAGGCGAAGCGACGCTCGGGTGGTTTTTTGGATCTCTACGAGCTCCCAATAGAGGATTTTTACGAAAAATGATAATTGTGAATTATTGAAATGCGGAAGTGAATAAAGATTGTTAAGAATAGTATCGAAGTGCATCTCGACGAGCTGGAACTGATTGCGCAACTGATTTTCGACCATTAAATTCAACTTTAGCCGGCGGCGCTTCGGATTTGCTGCGCGATTTTCTCGAGGCTAATCTAAAATCAATCAATAAACTCGTTTAAAAGTTATAATAATATCACAAACTTTGCCTTCTTCTCCTTTTTCAATCTTCTTTGAAGAAGTCTGTCACGCTGGGCACTTCTCTCTTCGACCATTGCTTTGTTCGAACTAAATGAACGTCTTCAACAATTTGAGATTCCATTATTCACACCTTGTATCGATAGCATTATCCGGTAGAAAATACCAAGTATCCCTAAAGTGTTGTCCGGCTGGGATTAGGACATAAGCACCTCGTGACATCAACTGCGAGACCTCTGATATTTTTCGACCATCCATATCAACAAGCCTATAGAAGCCTTACATTTATATATCACAGTTATGCTAACATAGGGGCTTACTTCGAGGGGTTTACATTGTATCTTCTTGCAATCAACTCAAGAACATAATTCATTCCTTTTTCCAGTTGTTTTCTTTGGAAATTCATATACTGACTTTCCATTCCTTGTCCATTTAGGAATACACTGAAAAAAATTCCAACAAATTAATATGCTTTGCAAAAATTACTATATCAGGTAGGCATCCGGATGGGTTTGATCCCTTCTGTTGAATATCATTGCACTTCTTCGCCTTCCCATTTGGGCCATTTTTCTGAAATTTGACATCACTACGAAAATATTCGAATAAAGACGACATACTGTTTATGTTTTTCCAACTGTTCTCGATCTTTCCGAATCGTATCAAAGTTGTCAAAATCGCTAGCTTGAGGAAATTCATTAAAATCATCAATGAATGTGTTCGTTTTTCTAGGTACTTGAGAAGCTCTCTCATAACTGCGACCTTGAAGCTATAATTGGAATCAAAAACATAACAAGAAAACCCACGATTATCAATATTGATTGCTTCATTGAAATAATCATCGTATTGTTTCAAACTGTTTGATTGATATTTGGTCCTTCTTGGGGTTCTCCCATACCCATCTCCAGTATACGGCCGAGGTGGTGGGGTCGGTGGGTACGAAACTATAATTTGCTTATTTGGAGAGAATTCAAGGAGAATCCATTAATCTTACTATTTGAAGGATACGTCGATCGTACCGAATTAGAAGTGTAATACTCTGGTGCAGAAAGACTTGTATGAGTCGGCTGCTCTTTATTCCAACCGCTTATGTTATCTTTGATCGCAATGTCAGAATCGCTTTGTCGACGGCCGAAATTTTCACTGTGTCTGAATAAATTATTCAACACTTAAAATGTTGATAATTTTTACATCACGAGGTCTTCTTCGCCAGTAATAAAATATGTTGATAAGTCTTCAATATCATCAGGATCTGTTATAGGATCACCATCTCTCAAAAATAATATTTGTATGTATCAAACTCAATTAGTAATTCATACAACGTATAGATTCCTTCCGCTCCATCGTCCAGTCCGACATAGGGACCAACATCTTCCAATAGTTGTTTGAGTGTTGGCGACTGCCATTGTCTCCAAACAAACAGCTTTGGCCTTCAAAATCAACATATACATATGCGGTTTTCGAGAATGAGTTTGATCTTTGACTCACTTGATATGAGTTGCTTCGCCATTCCTTTTTACGTAAATTTTTTTCACTTTAGGTCGATTCATGCGATTAATCAATTTCTCGCCTTCTCTTCGAAGTCCTTCACCTCGTCGACGCTTGTTCAACTCAACGTACGAGATTCCGGGGTATTCATCTCCATAGTAATCTAAACCAAAATAATATATGAATGTCGAAAGAAAATTTTGATGTTTTGATTTGTTTTAACGCAATATTCTTAGATAGCTTTTTTTGAATCATTATACATGATTCCATTTTCGAAATTATTTGAGTATTTATGGGAACGATATCACATGGCAGAATTGAAATTTCGCTGATTACAAATAACTTATAATAAATACCGTGCTGAACAACGTCATTATCAAGTTGAATGTGCGAATTGAAGTGGAACGCTTACCTGCCATTGTCAACACAAGAAATAATGTTTGAAATAGAATGACAACACAAGAAGAAAGTCGCCCGCGGTTGCCATAGGCGCACGAATTCTCTCGACAAATGAACGACGTCGTTTGAAAATGTATTCAGAAAAAAACTACACTTCAGAATGTATTTATAAAGAAAGGATAAATGTTGTTTAAAGTAGGAACAAAGTCAACAATTGCGAGCATATTAGCATTAATACTGAATATCCAGAAGTCGAACCCCCCTTTCCATCGACGTTTGGATCATATTCTGAAAATCACACTAATTTTTCAAAGTAAAAAGCTGATGCTCTTACTTATGAATTTCATCACATTTTCTTTTATCACTGCTCTTGCGCTTACCAAAGCTGGTGGTTCGCCTTTATAAGATGGATACATATCAGCACAGTGAGCTGTTCCATTTATAAATAATGGTATAACAGAGCGATCGTCATTCTTTACATATGTTCCCAGCGCATGCCATGGATCAAGAGAGCCATTTGGAAGCACAACATTGCTGGCCGCCGAAGTACCACCTGAATAATGATCAGCACCACCATAGTACTTTTGTGCTCGCTTGTTATTTGTATAGATGTATCTCATATCAATAGTGGAATCGAACATATCAGTGCACATATCGACGAAATAGCTGAAAAAAAATGAAAAGAATGGTTGAAAACTACCAAAATACTTAAGTGGAACTGTCGAGCCAAACACATTTCTTCCTTGGTCGGTTGTCTGAAGAAAACCGATTTCATTGCAGCAAAGCCACATCCATCCTCTAGCTGCGGCACCAGCAACGCCAAGAACATTGAGATCACCACTTCCTACTTGTGCGATCACATCCCAATAATTATTGGGCATTACTGAGAGATCCGGTCCCATCGGGTCAAAGAAATTGTACCTGCAAGTCGAGCAATTAAAAACGAACTTCCGCAAAGTTTTTAACCATCTGAATAAATTTCTGACACGATTTACCAAATTAGGCTCACTGCTGTCAGTCATTATATCACACATTTTCCGTACAGTTGTGTTCACTTGCGTTTTCTCGTTCTGAAAATTGGTACAATATTTAATATTTTCTTGAATTGTGGTTACAGTTCCATCATAGGTATATTGCGTCATTCCCTGAAAAGCGTTGTAAATGTTGCCAAAGAAATTGGTGATGTCAAGTTTTGTCGTATTTGCGTTAAACTTAGGGACCAAACTAGAAAATGGCATCATAAATTATTTCCTTTTCTATTTTTTTTAAAGTTACTTGAATGTTGTACTAAGAGTCTTCCGGCCTTCAATCGTGATTGAAAGCTGCTGCATTTGTTGGAAGGCGTTGCGAACAGCGTCGGCGCAATTTGGATCGGTTACCTTTAAATCGTCTTCTACAACCATTGCATATTCTGAAAATATACATTTTACACGCAGATAAATTTGAAAAAGTCAACCATAGAAATCAAGCTTCAGATTTACAGGGGCACTACTTGCAACAGCTCCTTTCGTTAGATCAGGATACATTTTCCTGAACCAAGCAGACAACGATCCTTAAGTGTTCAACATTCTCATTATATGATATTTTTTCTTCATAATACCTGGGTAACTTCCACCAAATGTGACCCATCTTGGATTGGTGAATCCATGCTTTTTATTCATCGCTTTGATGAATTCTGCAATATCGGCGAGCGCTTGTTGTGTTGTCAAATATCGAAGAGATGAAACTTCCATATTTCTATAATAATTAAATAATTTTGTTGAAACACATGAAAAAAACTCTAACGGGATTGGCCAACTATCTCCAAAGAAACGATGCTCCAGATCAAAGACATCAGCACCGAGCTCATTTGCCCATTGAAGGTATTGCACATCCTGGTATGCTGCCCATTTACCGCTTTCCGGGCCTTCACCACCAATCATTAGGAAGACGATAGAATGGTTACGAGAGTAAATTGGATTGTAATAATATTTCTGAAGGAAATTACTTGAAAATTGGTTAAATCAATGTATTTCAACCTGCTGCCATGTTTTATTATTATTCGAATCGAAATGGTCCAGCTTCTGGGTGAAGTTATGAGTTTGAAGATATGGATACTCGTCATTTAACTTGTTGATTTTGTGTAAATGTCGTTCGAGCATATAACTAAATATACGATATCGCTAACTAAAACAACGTTGTCGGCAATTCTACTTCCTCGCATGACCACCTGGCGGTTTTCCAAGAAAAAATGGGGGCAATATGGCTCCTGTTAGAGCTGGTAAAAACAACCAGGAGTAACCCAGCATTCTGCAAAAGTATAGTGCATAAAAATGGTGTGAATCAAAAATGAAAGTAAGGTTGAATCGAATGTTCACCAAGTGCCTTAAGATAAATCTTCTTATCAATTTCGACACAGTTCTTATCAATTTTTACTTATAATCATTTCAATATTAAACCCGATTTTTCACAGATTATACGTCATATATAATGATTTATTACATAACATACCCATACGAGTAGTTACAAAAAATTTGTGCTGTTTGACATTTTAGAATATATAAAAACGGTAGGGAAAATACAAAAAAATTACATATGAAGTTTATTTAAATTTGATACAATCTATTTTTCTATGGAGTTTGTATCCTTTCTAGTGGGGACTTTTGGTTTTCTTGATGGTAAACTCGGAGCTGGCTTTGATATGGGCTTTGATCCGCCCGAGTTTGGCCTTGACGCTGATGGTTTTGGAATGGCAGATTTAACAGAAGCTGCCGCCGCAGGCTGTCTAGGAGGATCGCCCGGTTTTCTCGCAGACACTCGATCTCGAATTACGGTTCGATTTGCGCTCGATGCTAACGGGCTGTCTTTCACCATCGGCTTCACGACGGACTTTGGTTTCTCAACGCTCTGAAAATGTCCTATTTTATGTTTTTTTTGTTTTCAAATGCAATCACCTTTACTGGAGATGAGTCCGGTCCCGGCAATTGTGCCGCTCTTGCTTTGTCGACTGTTATAATCGTGCGAGTTGTTTGCCGTTCCATCTCGATCTGTAACTTGTTCTCTCTCGCCTTTTCTTTTACAAATCGCTCGCATACTTCACTATTTGTACTTTTCTTCTTGATAGGTGACCGACGGACACCTTCTTTTGCTCGAATTGCTTCCACCGCGGGTTGCTTCTAAATTTTATATTTTATATTTGCCGCTCTGTGACGAGGATGATACCTGTTGCTCAGATTTTGGAAGCTCGGGAGTTACCATTTTCTTTTCCTCATTGGCTTTGTCCTGACTCTTTTCAGATGTTCTTGATCGACTCCTTCTTTGAGGCGATGGAATCTTTCGCTTCTTTTCCAAATCGGAATTTTCTGTATTTAAATGTGACCAATCAATACATATTCATTATTACAATACCTTTCACCATCTTTACTTCGGATTTTTCAACAATATTCTCCTGGTTTTCCACGTTTTCTGTAGCTGTTTTGGCACCCACTCGAGACTCTGGTGATTTTTCGTTAACCGCTGGCTGTTTTTGCTCGAGCTCTACTGCTGGTTTCGTTCTCTCAGCACTTCTAGCTCTGGGCTGAGCATATTGCCCATTATTCTGCACGCCGACAGAAGCACTTCGCTTATAAGATCTTGAGTTACTTGAAAGTCTTGGCGGTGGAGCTTTTGGTTTCCGCATTTCGACAAATATTCCAGCTGAATGGGAACATGCATCATTTTAATTTGTGAAATACACAACTCACTTTCTTCGATTCGTCGTTTCTGTTCATCAGACAGCAAGTTGAAAGCATCGGCTCGTACAACACTAGCAGCATAATGAAGGAGATGACGATCAGTGAGATCAACCATTCGACGTACAAGTGATGAGAACCTCTGAAAAAAAAACAATAAATGTTTTAGTAATGCTTTAAAAATCTCTGAAAGTTCAAAATTCATTCGTACCGGACTCCATTCGTCAACTGGAATGTTCAGTGTTCGCTTCGGCGATGGCGGTGTCTGCATTATTTCTTCCAAGAGACTTGTCAGCTCCTTATATGTCTTGATTGCAACATCGGCAGTTAGCGAATGTATGACAGAGACCATGAGATCCTCAAGAATTCCCAAATTTAACGCAAGTCCTTTTCCTTGCTGCTGGAATGATTTGCTGGTAACAACTAAATGAAATGAGTGCACGAGGAATTGCATTGCAACATCTAATATATCATCGACCATTTGTAAAACTGCAATTGCAGAATCCGATTTGGAACGAGACATTGCCACCTAAATATGAGAATGCTTTTTGAAGGTGAAGCAAAAAATATATGATACCTGAAGTCTTTCGCAACTCAATATAACATCAATGACTGTCTCGTCGTCCATGTGCTGAATCACGGCTTCATAGCATTCCTTTTGCCAGCGTTCATTCAGGTACAAAAACACACGACCTTTCCAAACTCTTGCGAAATGTTTCGCCTGCCATTGCATCGCTTCATCATACAACTGACGAAGGCATCGAATAGAAGCAAGCTGAGGTAAGCAATCGAATACTGCAGAAACGCAAGAAGCGCAAGGCTGAAAACGATTCAACTTATAACATCACACATCTTCTTGTGAAACCCTATGAAACCAATGGCATTTTGTGGCTTTTAAATGAAGAATGACTACTTGGGCGAGATCTTTATGATTCAAATGAGTTGCCAAAGCAACTACTTCCCAGACGTCTACCTGAAAAAAATAGTTTTCCGATACTGTTGGCTTGTATTTATATAATATACGTCATCTGGAATTGAGGTCACACCGCCATAAAGATACATTAGTAGAAAGTTGATAGAATTTTTTGAAAAACCCCTCATTTCAACACGTTTTGATTTTTGTAGTTGCTGACGGAAAAACGGACATGTTGCGGACAAAATGCATCTAAAACCGCATAATTATTAAATTTTAAATCAATTTTTTGCTTACTTGTGTGCATGTATATCACCTCCTTCCGTTCTTATTATACAATCGGTATCCTCATTATTCACATACATTTGCATTAGATCGGAAGCTAACTTGCTGCAAGCACTCATGTCGCCTATTGGAGGTTGACCTAAGAAGAAATATGAGGAAGATGAGGTTGGATTCAGATTGTAGATACCATCTTGTCCTGGGGTGATGTCTATACTTGTCAAACTCGTCAAACTCGTCATTGACATTCGCTTGGATAAGTTTAGACGATTACTTCCTGCAATAGTATTCCAGTGAAATTTTTTATTGATTGCTTCTGATTTTAAAGTAATTAACAAATTATGAACGACGTATTATCATGACTCATTGGCCCATAATTTGCATTATACAAACTATCCGTCAGCTGACGGTTCCCTTCGACAAAAAAAAAGTGTGAGCACTTTTATTTTTCAAGTTTTTGTGCGATCCAATTCCCCATGGTGATTCTTCAAATTCCCCTTTCATTCTTAACTATATACCACATTTTCAGATGTTTTTGCTTAGCAATTCCTCGTGGAATTCGAAAAATACACTAACAAATGCAATGATTTTTGAGAAGAAAAAATATAATTCAAACCTTTCCATCCATCATTTAATGGCTTCTCGATGGCTTCACCAGTGTCACTGAGACCAATGAACATTGGAAACATTTGACGAGAACCCCCGCTTGATCGTTTTCTTTCTAGATACTCTTTATGTGTATCATTACCATTTGTTAAACTATCAAAACGAATGAATTTGCTCATCGGTCCTATAATTGGAGTTTTTCTTAGTTGCTCAAACATGAAATTCATACTATTATCTAATGGCGTGATCGATTTGTTATCGTCCGCATTATTGACCTCATCTTCTTCCGGAATATCAGCGACTTCGCTTCTCCCTCCAAGAGAATATATCGAACTATTCATCGGACTGCCTGAAGCGAGGTCGCGAAACGATGTCATCACTGGTACGGCGGGTGCCGAATTCGTGACAGCTGACTGCAAAAATGGGCCGCCCATCATTGGATATGGTCCCGCCGAAATGCTCATTGCCTGCGAAACAGGTGCAGGCCGTCGCGGCGAATTCGGGTATGACATCATCTGAAAATTACAAAAAAAGATGATATCTCAATGAGCAGTGTTTTGCCCATACGCCAGACTGTTGGTAGAAATGAGCAAGGAGTGGTCGTCCAGCAATCATTGTCGGCGTTTCATCCTCCAATCTATAAAAATGCTTGTGAGTCTTTGAAAGCAATAGATATGCCCGCGCCTGCTATTATAAGAAATTCTAAGCAATACAAAATACTAAGCTGATATGTTGCTAAGCGGTTGAAACAACCGCAATCACTATCTGTTTCGTTTGCGATCATTATACTGAAACTCTGACTGACTGCTCATCCCGTCGACTACACTAAATATGTACCAATTCATCAACAACTATGGATTTTGGATTATTTTGTAAATGTTATCCTTTAAAACGCAATTCATTTCTATTTCCAGAATTTTCACTTCATTAGTGATTTCGTTTCAAATTTTATCGTGCTTCAAGACAATGTTGACCACAAATGCGGCGCAAAGAAAAATATCAAGCTTGGACGACGAACGACCTCCATACATTCTTTAGATTTATGTTGAAGAGGAGACTTAAATTTTAATTGGTGGCATTAAATTCAAAATATTTAATTATGGAATTTAAAGCAACAGAATTGGCTTATATGAAAAATGTTACAAAGTACGTCAAATTTGTCAAACCCCTTATTGAATATTTCAAATGTTCATAACGCTTTCTTAATATTGTTGGCTGCTAGATTTGTGAAAATCACACATTTGTGCACTTCGCGATCATGTCTTGCTTATTGTCATTTGAGTATATTTTGCTGCCGACAAATTCAATAAGACTAAAATGTATTGTTTTTCTAATCTAAATTGATTATCATTAACAAAATTTTCTTTCAGAAAAATTATTTGTATTCCGTTTGCATTCTTTTCCACACCTTGTTTGTCACTAGCCATAACTACTTAAAAATAAATAAGTTTCTCCACACATTTTTTCATTAAATATATATCATTTGGAAAATACTGATCATTGAATCTTGCTCGAACATATGGGAAAACTGGAGCTTGTTGAGAAGTTTAGAAAAAAATATTCTCACGACAGTCACCGTTGCAGAGCATAAATATTGACGTCCACATAACTCGTTTCAAGATTTTGTGTCAACTTGCTACAACTAAAATACATACGGTAAATTGCTTGATAAGACCTATTCAGCCCAAATCAACGATTATAAGGCCTCCATCCAACGACAGTTATTTCCAAGTTCTGCCAAACATATGACTCACTCATATATTGTATCCTAAATCTACAATATACGCTTTCTTATTGAGAAATACATTCTCGATTTTGTATTCCAGATGGAAAAATAAAAGAAGCTTCACCATACAATAAATTATTGCCGATGTTGGTTGTCATTCGGAGAGTCGGGAGAGAACAGAGGTTAGGAGCAAAAGCCTGGAAGTGTCTGGCAGACACGTATTCCCATTCCTTTATTTCAAATAATGCGCCTGATTTCGGCTCTTGTATCGGTTGTCGTCGCTGTATGCTTTCAGACACAGGAGTTGTCCTATGATGCTCAGACAGTGACAAAGCGAAACCCAAGTATGATGCGCGAGAGTGGATACTGTATTCTATTGTAAGTGAAGATACAATTTCAAAAACATATTTCGATTAAGAGCTTCATTGTTCTGCTTCACAATTTTTTTTGATCGAACTGCTCATTGTGCAACGACGGATGGCAAGACGTGATTAATCATCTCGGTGCTCGAATAATAAATTATAATAATTAGTTAAATTTCCATCTGCATTTTTTTCAATGTTTACTATAACAAATGTAAATGTTTTTCTTTTTACTGCCACATTTGAGCATTAGAAAATTACATTGACCTTTAGTATCTTATAGCGAGATGCTAATCCGAAGAGCACCTGTGTTGGAGCAATCCGAAGACAAGGTAACAGGACACATTTGCTCATTCGACATTTCTACCTCATCATGCATCCGCTGTCAGCTCTATCGCTCGTTGCGGTCACTTACGCGTGTTATCTCATCATGGCTGAACAGCGTAAGCATGCGATAGAGATGGGAAGCAATGAAACTCCATTCTCGCTATTTGAGTTGTAAGTTGAATTATTCAAAATAAAACAATTTCTTGTTTTTATTTTAGACCACACGTATGGCTATTCTTGCTATACGCATTCTTTCTCATGGTGTTGCGGTGGATGGCGATCGATGAACCAAATCACAACTAACTTACATCAATGCCCACTCAAAATCTCTAAATGATTTTCATGCATTTCGAAAAGTGTAATGTAACAATCTAATATCTAATGCTCTTCACATATGTATTTTATACCATCTACTCAAAACCATTTCTATTATCTCTTATTAATAATGCGAATAAATAAAAGTTTAAAAAAAAAACTATCCATCGAAAAACATCAGTTTCAGAATGTCAAACTATGAAAATAATTTCTGAAATTTCAAGTGGATTTCTTATACCAATATTGTGATATAATTTGGGCATTCCTATCGAAATAATGAAGATTTTGTTCCCAACAAATTCTTAATTAATAATTATTGGCAAAATTAAGTCATTCATAGAAAATCTTAAAGAAAAATTATATTTGTTTTTCCTTAGAGGAAGAAAAAATGGTGGATGTGCGATAAAAGCTGATCCTTGCATTAATTCGAAATGTCTATATATGATTCATAATCAAAGCTAATAAAAAAATTAGGATCGGCAGAAAAAGATAAAGCTCGATAACGCCGGGTAGAAATTCATACAAACTATCACAAAAATTGCATCTCTTCACATTTTTTTTTCTCTAAGAACGATAATTAATATGTATGTCGTTTCTAGGTAACATTTTAATATTAAAAGAAAATCGATAATTTGTAAAATTTTTGAAAACTAAAGCGCAATTCGAAATGCTTCGAAAGTTCTGAAAGTTTTCTAAGTCTCTAAAGAAAAAAAAACTATTTTCAACACTTCTTGAAATTGTTCCAATTTTGTATGAATTTTTCAAATCCGTGTTCTTTTTTTTTAATCTATTTTACATCTTGCTATCGAAAGAAGTAATTTGAAACTTATAACCAGCGAGGTAACACCTGCCGATAGTAATTACGATTTAGGCGCTATGTGGCTTCATGACAAGCGGATTAGTTGTGGCGCAGGTGGATGAGATCAAATTCGCAACGGCGGCATGTGATAAAAGCTGAATTTTCCATTCACATGAGCTTTTGGTAGTTCAAAGGCTTAAAAAAATATCACCCGGCATTATTTATCTTGAATTGAATAGGGAACGAATATTTTCTCATCCTAATTAGCCTAATTATATCCTACAAAAAGAAATAATATTCCATTCATTTTAATTCGAACAGACCACAAAATAAAAAATTGGACCCACTTTTCATCCACCCCGCTCATTTGAAAATCCAACTCTGTCGTTGATTCGTCCATCGCGAACGATTGATTCGACTGTCGGGAAGGAATTTCCTCTGAAATGTTTTGCTTATATATTTTTTTTTCAAATAAAGTTAAATAAAACGCTGAAAATCGATTGTATTTGCATTGGAAAGGAAAAAATGAGTATAGTGTAGAAGCAGTGAAGACAAAATAATGCAGCCAGTGTTTCATACCTTCCGCCGAAATTCGCACTTTCTTTTTAGTGTCTACTATTAATTTATGACAGTTTTCGCATACTAAACTTTCGATACACATATGAAACTTGAAATCTCTTACGTCGATTATCAGGTTGCTCTACGGGCATTTGAGCAATCTCATCCTCAGTGTACACCGAATGAATGAAAAATTCCAAGCCAACCGAATCAATATCACCAATTGCAACCTAAATAATATTGAATTAAATCTTGGGAAAAGAATCCAGATGATGTTACTTCACGCAATTTTCCTTCTTGACGTGGTCCCATTGCATTAATAGTCGCTTCGACATGCCTTTGATAGAACCCAGGGGCACGCGAGCGAAGAATACATTCATGAGCTGCTAGCTTCTTGCCATCCGCGGCAACTAGCAAAAGATCAGCACTGGCCATATCACCAACCTGAAATCACAGAATTTGTGTGAAAGAGTTTCAAATAAAATTTTGAAATGAAATATTCAACCGAATTTAATGGCGCAGTGAATTCTTTGCTAGATTCGGACGCAATTTTGAATATCCCTAATGCAAATAAAAAAATTAAAATATTTAATAAATAGGCAAAATTTCAACGCAAAAAAATTTTTGAATATATATATTTTTTCTTTTTTTCGTTTTTCTTAAATTAGTGGGAGTATTTAAATTTTTCCGTTTTTTATTTTCTTTCAGATTTTGAGAAACAAATCAAACGAAAAAGAAAAAAATAAGAATTTTCGTATAGAAAAATATCTGAAACCGGAAATCTTACAGCAATAATAAAAAATGTTGTATTTTCCTCCTAAAATCTATTGTTTTTGGTTTTTAAGCAACATACATTTGGAAAATAAATTCGAAGAACATTTCCAGTTTTTGGGAAATAAATTTATCGATCTAAAATTGGCGACAAAAAAAAGCAAATATTGCGCGACAGAGTAATTTAATAGACAGGCGAACTAACTAAAATCGAAAGTTTTTGTATGTATGTTTCTCTGCTCATCCAAAAATTGAATGGGCGGGCAAATAGTGTAGTAACGCTTCCTGAAATTTCGTCAAACTAATTATTTATTCATTCACTTTCGCGTTCAAAGGATTCTCATTAGAAATTAAGGCTGCTCGGAACAATTGTGCAAAAGAATAGCACATTCTGCGGTTGGCAATTTCAATTAGTCGACGCAGCGATACCACCACCATCTCCCCCCTCCCTCTCTTCGCCATCCATCCGAACCTACCAAAGTGCTCATTTGACGACGAATTTTTTCAGCTAATCGAGTTTGTAGTTGCTCACGCGCAGCACAATACTGCTCCCAAGCAATTGCAGATTTCATTCGACGAGTATTGTTTCAGCATTGCATCTGCAAGATTGAATGTGTTGATAGGACAAGAGTTTCATTATGCACATAAGCCAGCTCTCAAGAGCTTTATCTGATCGTTGTCTGCTTCTAGAGAAGAGGCGAAAGAAACAAACAAAAGAAAATGTAAATTATTGGGTAACAATAGGACCCTCCTTTTAGTAAAAATGAATATGGGGGCCTTCTAAACTATGATTATGAATATGCTTGAAAAATAAAAATAAAAATGATAAAAACAACAGTCATTTTTTTTTTCAATTTTCCTGAACATATGGTTTTTGATCAATAAAATAACAAGATTATTTCCTGACAAAATTATTTATTATTTGTGTTTTTTCAAATATTCAGAAAAGAAAAGCAAAAACTAGTAATAATAATAGTTATAGCAACACTTTTTTTTATAATGTTTTGTTTGCTGTAACTAGTATGCAATGTTATACCGATCCCATTACTCTAGTACATTCTCACTGAACTGAAGTAGCAGAATACGTTTAGGACAAAATATTTTTGATGCAATTTTAATGCGGCCTACATAATTTGCAGTCAATTTTCGAAACTTGTTTGTCCCAAAGCAAGGAATAGAGGAAAAAAGAATGAGGCCTTTCATTAAAGATCCGGAAACACTGTATATTCACCGCCTGTGTGTTCAAATAAATGTGTAGTTACATGAAACACGATACATGTATTTGCTGTTTATTGACCTGCCACCCAATTCTCTGCCGATTATGAGGCCTCCCAAGGAACATGAAACAACAATGAATGAACAAGTATTTCATTCGAATGAACTTAATTCTGGTATGCGGAATATTATAATAGTTGAGTGCTCATTTTCATCAAAGAGGGCGCAGGCAAAGTGGTTAATCCCATAATTACTACTCGTCGGCCCGCGTGGTGGCGAACGGCAACCAATCGATCATTTTCGAGCTTTTATGGGTTTTACACGCATTTAAAATTGAATGGGTGTTTAGCCAGATGGAAATATGTATATAATTGAATTTAAAAGCAACATTTGGTAAAATTATCTGAAAGTGAAAAGAAAAAAACCATTAATTTATAACAAAGTAATAGATGAGAAATTCCTTATTAGAATTCATATAATTTGACGCACGTTATTTGAAACTATATATTTTCAGCAAAAAAACAGCAATCATTTTTTAAATGTCGCCTGAACAACATCCTAATTGTTTGTTCATGCGATCATACACTAAAGCTACTAAAAATAATGAAATTAACCAATTTTTGAAGGTCAAATACTACATATTATTATACGTTTTACCGTTATTTTAGTATTCGTTTTTGACAGAAAATGGGTTTTTTTTTCATTTTAAAATAGCAAAATTAATATATTATGCTAGTTATAAATGAGCACACAATAATGATTGATGCTGACATAGTGTGCACATCTGCAATAAATGAAATCAATAGTTATGAAAAATAAGACAAGCTCGTCATCGCCGAACAAAACAAATTGGCAGCGAAAACAACTTTTTCGAAACTTTTATGATTTTTTTTAGGGCTGAAACGAAACCAGACGAAAAAGAAAGCTGAAAGCTGAAAAAATGAAATGGTGTCAAATTATGAGGGAAGAAGCAAGTCCGGCATTCGCCCAATTTTGGCAAAGCCGAAAACCGAGAAAAGCAAGAGTGCTAAAAGTGCTCGCAGTGAGCCAAGAGACACACGCATTGCACACCATCATTCTTTCTCTTCCCCCGAAGGCCTGGCGGCTGTTGCCGTTGAAGGGAATGTGGTTTTGTCGCGCACATGCGGCAAAAATGCTAAAGAGTCGCTCTCTCGCGCGCGGTCTCTCCTTTCCTATCTCGTCGATCGATACTTTTTATTTTTGAAAACAAGATGCTCCGAGAGCATTTTCCAAAAAAAATTGAGAATTGTCAAATGATCATTGAGAAATGTGATTGTCCAAAAAAAAAAGATTTGCTTTGGAAGTGCAAATAGTTTACTTTTTCAAAAAGAAGTGCGGAAGAATTAAAATAATTATAAACAAGATCATTGAAACAACCAATTTCCAAATTAGGAATGGGAATATTGGAAACTATATTTTAAATATGAAAATTTCAGGCTAACCTAAGATTTGAAAAATGAGTTCATAATGGACATTTGAGACGAATAGCAAAAATTTGAATCCAGAAAAAATCTTGGAACCTGTAAGAATTCCAGCTTTCAGCTTTCATGCACAAAACAATATGACTAAAATATTCACATTCTAATATTAAATTAACGACGCATGATGTTTACTTTCAAACCGCTTCCCAGATTATTAGGTGCACTCATTCTTTTCGTGAAGGTTTTTGAAGAGGGCAAAAATTTCCCGCGAAGAAAACAATTGTTTAATTTATCAACAGTATTCAATTTTCTCAAAAAAATCCTGAATTGCATACGATATTCTCAAATGTAAGCGATTTCTGATCAATTTTCGTCTTTGCAAACTTTTCGTATCAGCGTCAAAAAAATCTCTTTAGGGACCCTCCATCATTTTCCATTTCATGTTTTTTTTCAAACATACAAACAAAAAGTGCATTTCAAAACGTTTTCGTTTCAAACAAGAAACCAAAAAATATCCTATTTCGAGATGGCCAGCACCATCAATAGTAGCACCAGCGAAAAAAATCGAATCTTCTCACGAACTGATGTAAAATCGGTCAAGCGGATTTCGTTGCACATTTGCCCGACACAATGCGTTCTGACTTGTGGGGGAAAAGTGTGTGGGTGTGGTATAAAAAAATTAAGTTCAAAAAAATGTCAGTGAAAAAACCGGAAAAGGCGTTTGCAAGAGTGGAACTAATTCGCCTTTCTGGATGTTTAAAACTAGGAAATATTGGATCTAAATTTGGTTTGGAGTTGATCCCGAGAAAGGAAGAACCCATTGAGATGGACAGACTCACTCAACTAAAAAATTTTAATTTGTCTGGTTACCCCATAGAGAATTATGGCCATGAACAGGAAATTACGAAATTCTGTGATTAGCACTCATACATTGTAAGCAAAGTATGGACAAACGTAAGTTGGAATTCTTCTATTCAAGATGTGCACGTCAATTGTTCCAAATTACCTCAAATATAAAAAAATAGAGCTAATATTACAGGGCTCATAAGTAAGTAAATAAAATGATTCCTGGAGTTTTGGAAAGAAGTGTTTTAAAAAAAGTAGGCAAATTTTTTTCGTTTGCTCATTTAAGATAAGATCGATGTTTCAAATTAACACTTTTTTCTTGTCCTCGATCACAATTTCATTTTTCCTTCAAATCTTTTGACACCTTATAATTTAGAGTGACTTACCCATTTTTCTATTTTTTTTCTAGAAATATTACAAAGAGGCGGATGGAAAGGCGCAACAAGTGAAAGGATGAGCTCACAATGATATTGCTCCTCATGCATTTCAAATTAGGAAACGTATCATTCACTATTTTTTTTTCTATTTAAACACTCGAAACAAATTCAATGCAAGTTTAAAAGTACGGTTAGAATAAATCGGTAGACAACATAATTCTTTTGGCGGCGAGCCAAGGTCAAACCATTCCCAAATAAGGTCAATTATGAGACCTTCCTCAACTACTATTATGTGTATCGTCTGCATGTGTGAATCTCGCTGAAGAAACTGAAAGAGGGGAAATAGAAAGAATGCATTTATAAATGGGTATGTAATAAATTTTGTATCCTTGACTTCCAACCATAGTAACAAGTTGAGTGAAGCTTTAGTGAGAAGATGCTAACCTTACGAGAGACACACCGTAAAATAATTCTTCCAATTTTGTTTGCTATTTTAACTATATCCTGTATTTGGCTTATTATCTACAGCTATCCTACCTATTTGTACTCTAATGAGTGGAAATCGGAGCAACGAGAATTCGAGAAATTGAAGATTGCCAGCATTATGGTAGCGGGAGGAAATGAAAGAATAATGATTTAAATCGCGGTTCAGGAAGAAAAACGAATAGCTTCCGTTGTTAATCGACTTGAAAAACTAATGAAAAATTACGAATTCAGTTTGGAAGAATTGCAAGATATTCTTGACAATTTCGTTAAAAAAATTGAAAGTAATTGGCTGTCTTACAATTTCTATTGGGTCAAGAGCATGTGGTAAGTGACGAAATAAAGATGCTCATTTTTAAGCGATCTTGAAAATTTACAGCTACGGTCGCATGGTAAATCAAGCTTTTATGCTTTTCGATGACATCTCGGTGCCTTACGTGAATGTGAATTCCGTTATTATAAGCGCATTTTTTCGCGCAATCCTTCCAATTATCAGCACATTCGTAGTTGGTACGTCGAAATTTCATCAATATAACATTGCGAAATTTTTCAGGATGCGGTGCTTCCGCAATACATTCAATTATTCAAATTCCACTTGATCGAATATTCAAAGTTCATACGTATCCACCAATGTCAATTCAGCGAAACAAAGCATGCAAAATGCGAGATTTCGTCGCTTTCTGCTGCTCATTGGTATATTTTCTTTTCTCGTTCTTCACAGGTAACACTTCTCTGTGTTGCTCGCAAGATTTACAGTAAATTAGGTTGCTATGTACTCGGAAAATGGCAAAACTCCTCATTTATTCAAGGCATGAAACTTGCTTGCAAATTAATTGCTTCCATTACTCCGGACGTTCCCGCAGTGGTTTGATTTGAACTGACAATGTTCCTTTAAAGCCTTTGTTGGAATTTAGACACAAACATTAACTGTACTTACATTTGCTGCCAGTGCACTTCACATTTATACCGGGATTTGCTACGTTCTCTTCACTGCAATGCGCTTATTCAATTCCGTCACGATTGCCCGCTTCGATATTCCGCAAATGGACAACATTGCAGATGCCCATATCACTGACAAAACAGTCCTTTCCAAGCATTACGACCGATACTTAAAGGCAATTCACAACGTGCAATGAAAAATCGTACTTTTGTACATATTGTTGAATAAATGATAATGTTAATCGTACGTTTTTTTTTTGTATTTACAGGGTGTCATTTAAGTTCCCGCACAACTTTGAAGACGTATATTTCTGAAACTAAAAGTCCAAATCAAACGAGACTCGAAATATTTTTTTTCTATAGTATAACAAATAATTATCTTTTAACTCTTTTCGATTCGGTCTTCTTTCGCAGCTATGACTTCACGGAGACGCTTCGGGTAGGATGCGACTGTGGTACGCAGATATTCGATGGAAAGATTGTCCCATTCCGCCAGTAATGTCTTCTTCAGAGCCTCTATACTTGAGTGGGGTTTTGCGTTGACCTTCTCCTGCAAGACCCCATCACGGAAAAGTCAAGCGGGTTCAGGTCTGGGGAGCAATCAGGCCATTCGGATGACTTGATGAAGTCGGGAAAATGGGTCTGGCACCACTCCTGAGTAGTTTTGGCAGTGTGGGCGGGTGCTCCGTCCTGTTGAAAGACCCATTTCTGCCCACCGAAATGCGTTTGGGTACAGGGCATCACATGATTCTCCAAAATGTCCCGAACGTAGACTTCTCTGTTCATTTTCACCCCCTGATCCACGAAAACCAGGGGGCACTTCCCGGTTGAGCAGATGGCACCGAAAACCATCACACTGGCAGGATGTGAGGCTCGATGAATTGTTCTTCCTTTCTCGGAAGCTTGCTGGGATGTCTGGGCAAGTACTCAATGGCTTTGTGAGTTGAATGCCGCCTCCACAGTGAACAGCTTCTCGTTGGAGAAGACAGTGACGAGGTGTTGTCCAGACCGCGTGCGAGCAAGAAGTCGTTTTGCTTTTTCGAAGCGTCTCTGCTTGCTGACGGCCGATAGAATTGCCGCTTTTTGGACACGATATGGGGTCAGTCCAAGCTTCGTTTTGACGATTTGTTCCATAGCGAAGATGCTCATTCCCATGTCTGACGCCATCTTTCTCATGCTCCTGTGGGGTTTTCGCCTGATCCTCGATTTAACGGCGTTGATCTTCTGAGGAGTGATTACTGAGACGAGTCTTCCTTGTCTGGGACGGTCACTGGTCGTATTTAGCTCCTTGAATCGTTTGATAGTGTCATAAACCGTTCTACGAGGCACACCGACCCGTTGAATGATGTCTCTCGGGCTCACATTTTGCTTATGAAATTCGATAATGGAAGCGCGATGGATGTTAGCCTTCGCCATTTCTGGGAAACACATCCGAATGAGGTGAAACTTGGAAAGTAAGTAAAATATACCTTATTTAACAAAAATAAATTGTATTGGTGCACGAAAAGTGCGACAGCCAAGCTCTTCATGGCGTCAAACTTTTGTGCGGGAACTTAAATGACACCCTGTACAGATAAGAATGATATGCTAGAAACGAATTAAAAATCGTTTTATAGGTTTTGTTAATTTGAGTTTGATTAGAAGCCATTTAGATAACTATATATATTCTTGGTTTGTTTCATATCAAAATTTTTATTCTCCATCACAAAGGGTTCATAGATTTTTTTTCGACCAATTGTCCTCGAACAGTCAATCACTCACCAAATATTGACATGAGTAATAATTTGATTTCCCACACAAATTTGACCTGCACCATTTGCGCGCAAATTTTTCTTCGCGCGTCGCCGAGGGCACGCCGCACTGGTCACCCGCCATTCGTTCATTCCATTTGGATTGTGGATTGCCGCTCGCATTTTGCCATTTTTGAAACATTTTTGTGTGGGGTATACCACAAAATACTGCCTTGTTGCGCCGTTATCAACTATATTCTCTTATCGATGATTACAGGGTGCCTTCTTTGGTAGTCTATTTCTTGGTGAATTCTTTGGCGAAAATCTAGTTCGCACAAATGGTGACCAAAACGTAAGTATAATTTTTAAAAAAATCAAAATTTCGTTCTTGTAAAAATCGATTGTGTTTCAGTTATATTGTATCAGTTTTCACGGTGATTTTGGGAGGAAGTGCGCAGTTTTACAGTTACGGAGTTGTAAATCCGGCGCAGGTTATCATCACCAAATGGATAAATGAGACATATACGGAAAGGTTTGCTCAGCAAAATTTATTATTTTGAACGTAACTCATAATTTCTAGATATGGGACACCGCTCTCTTTAACAATTTCAAACTTGTTCTGGTCATTCGTGGTTTCCAGCATTGCCATTGGAGCCATTATTGGAGCTTGCCTTACTAGGTTTTTTCAAGATCTCTTTTTGCTAATATTCCATCTGTTTTTAGATATATTGGCGAAAAGTTCGGCCGTCGCAATGGTCTAATCATCAATGGTGTAGCTAATGTTTTCGCAGCCTTCTTTCAACTCGGTGCAAAGCCCTTGCGGTATGTATCGTGCACTTCTTCGAGACAACCAATCAATGTTAATTTTCTTGTTTTCAGCTCTCCCGAACTATTGCTGTTTGGCCGATTTATTTTCGGTATCAACATGGGACTCACCAGTGGAATAGTGCCAATGTATCTGATGGAAATCACGCCGGCACGATATCGCGGCCCCGCTGGAACTCTGCATCAGGTAATTGAGAACAAAGAAAAAATCTTATCAATTATCACACTTTGGATGCTTATCAGCTAAAGCGAGCTTGAAACTAGCGATGCTACAATTCTTTTTTGAAATCAATTTGTTTCGCCAGGTTGCTGTCGCGTTTTCCGATTGGTTCTCGTTGCTGATCGGATTGCCGGAAGTTCTTGGAAGCGAAACACTTTGGCCGTGGGCGTTCGCGTTTCCTGGCCTCCTGGGGCTCGGATTAGTTGTCATCCTTCCATTCTGCCCAGAGTCGCCAAAATACACTCTCGGCACGAAAGGCGAACGAGCAAAAGCGCTTGAGGATGTTGATAAGTTGGTGGGAAGTTATGAGGCCGAACATATGTTTGAGTCGATTGTGAGAGAAGTCGCACTGGATAAGGTGACTCAGCGCACTGAAAACAAACATGAAGTGCACATTCATATTTGGCAGGGAAATGGAACGTTCTATGAGCTTTTCACGAGAAAAGATCTTCGAATTCCGCTGACGGTTTCAATTTTGGTAATGATTGCTCAACAATTCACCGGATGCACTGCAGTTTTTGCCTATTCCACCGATATGTTCCTCAACGCCAAACTCGATCCGTTAGTCGTCTGAAAATAAAACGAGATCCCTTTACGTGTATGCTGTTTTTTTCAGAGCTCTTGCTAGATTCAGTACCCTCGGAATTGGAATAGTGTACTTCCTCTTTGCATGCACTTCCCCATATTTGATTGAGAAGGTTGGACGTCGTCCATTATCTTTGTTCCAGTTAAGCAGTTGTATGTTCGCTTTGGTACTGCTCTCATTATTCACGTATCTGCAGAACTATCTTGCGGTGAAATTTTTAATGAATTAAAATATAAAATTTAATAGATTTTAGGTTGGATGGGCTAGTTACGGAACGATTTTTGCATTGATTTTCTACATGTGCGTCTATGGTGTTGGATCGCCGATTCCATGGATTATTGCAAGCGAAATGTTCAATCAGCAGGCATGAAAATACCAAATTATAATCCAAATACTGACATAATTTGTTTAGTTTCGAGCTACGGCTGTGACTGTCTCGGTGTTTGTTGCGTGGACATTTGCCTTCATCATCAGCACCATTTATCTTCCATTCCAGCAGCTCGTCGGAGTCTCGTTTAGCTATCTTCCTTTTATTATTGTTCTCATCATTAGTATCGTTTTTATGTACATTCTTCTACCAGGTATTCAATTAATTTTTGTTTTCGTGTATATTCCGTTATTACAGAAACGCGTGATCGTCCAATTGCTGAGATTGTCACAGACTTCCATCACAGATCGGCTTCTTTGTCAGCTGGAAGACCATGGGATGCAAGCAGACCACCAAGCCGACAGGAAATGCAGAGACTCTTGGATTCCATTGACATCCGGACCTATGATTCAAACGACGTCCTTTTCGACGAATAGATTCTATTTATTATTTTAATTTGTTTTTGTAAATATTGCATTTGACTGGTGATAAAGATTTTTCAAAGTGTTCATTAATGCCTAGTTATTCATGCGAGGAATATATGTCGTTTTGAAAAGTTATTTTTCTAGTTCTCTTACTAATTGCTTTAAATATTACCTTTGTTCGATCCGGAGATAGATATCGCTCGATGTTTTTTATTGAGAGCTCTGAGCTATTTTCCATCAAATAAAAATATATTCTTGTCGTTTGTAAAATCGGAATTCATCCTATTTGGTGGTGTATTCACAAAAAACTGTGGCTTAATGGTTTTTTAAAACAGGTTTTTTGTACTAACTTAACATTTTATGTAAATTTCAAAACCAGAAAGTCACTTGGTTATATTTTTTTATCGATTTTTCACATATTGCATATTAAAAAATAGCAAACACGTTTTTCTGTGAACTAAAATGGTAACAGTAATCCACGTTTTGTTTCAAAATTGTGTTTTTGACTTTTAGTAAAAATTTCACTTTGATTGGGCCACTTTTTCAAAAGTTACGAAGATAAAATAATTATTTCGTATCTTTTTTGTGGTACTATATTTTAATAAAACATAAATTTCATAAATTCACCTTGAAAAATGTATTTTGTAATAATACGTATCCTTTTAATTATAGCAATTTTCCTTAAATCCGTTGGATATTCATTCTTGTTTCTTTCCACAGGTCTTTTATGCGTTTCTTTGCATACATTCTTTTTTCTTGAAAACTGGAAAATGTTTTAAATGTCTAAAAGGTAATTAGATTTTTTTCATAACAGCTGCGTTTAAAGTCTTATGATTGTATCGCATTTATTAAGCAAAAAATGTCGTTCTGTCATTGCTTGCAATTATCCGTGAAAAAAAGAAACGAAAGAGGAAAAACAACGACAAGAGTTTGGCAAAAAAAAAAGAAGAATTTCGATGTTTTCGAATGATTAAAAACCTGCAAATAAACGTCGAACCACAAAGAAGACAGCAGTAGCAATGTGTTTGATTTGGCAAAAACAAACGGTTAAAATGCTATGAATTTTGATGAATGTGATTATACAATCCCGAATGTTGAAAAGAGATCAATACAAATAGAGAAGTCTAGCAATTTTTGAAAATTGATGAAAAAAATTGATGAACCCAGCAAAGAGTGAAAGCTAATGTTACCGATAGTAAAAGCGTTGTCGCACCGTGATAATAAACCAAGTAATCGATTTTCTTCTGAGTGAAAATAAATAACAATATGAACAGCAGGAGAACAAGGAGTTGGGATACTATTGAAGCCTTCGGTTAATTTCATCCATGATGTGATGCATCTTTTCAGGTCCCTCAAATGGCCAATTCCATTCATTTGTCAATTTGCCATCTCTAACATCCGCTTCAAACCAATAGCACAACCAGAACCACCTAAAACCAGCAATTTTTCAAAAAAGAAGGAGTGTTGGTGTTTTTTTTTCCCTCGTGCTCATTTCAATGCAATTAAGCTTCATCAAAAATGGCGCGTTAAATAGATGGCGTGAAAAGAAATTACCAAAGGCGGCTCAATGGCGCATTAGTCCTCTCCTCTTTTTTCATCTCGAAAACTTGATGATACGACCAGAAGACGTGGCTCGTTAACCAGTAGGCAATCAACACATCCATTGTATAATGACCGCCGGATACGACAAGTGCACTAATTCCGAGAAATGTGATCGGCGCCGCAATGTATCTGCAAGAGAAATAACGATTGATGCAAATTGTTTTCTCGCCAACAACGAAAAACCTCAATAGAACAAGCCCTCTTGGTGTGTATTGCAGTTGTACGAAGTACATGATTGTGAGGACCACCGTGTGCCCGCTGAACATCAAATCACCGCAGAGGATCTTCTCCTGGCCAGAGGTCAATCCCAATGTAATGACGTATGTCAAAAACCTGAAATCGGTTCGGTATTTTAAATGGCCGCCTCTTGATCACATCGCATTTACCTGGTTGCGATTTCCATGCCATACATGGCGGTGCGATTCACCTGCGGCTGACAAATCTCGTCACGGTTGTGAAACGACGGCGGCAAAAATGTGACGCCGAGTATTACGGCACGTAATCCGTACATAATTGCTCCCAACAAAAATGTGCGTCGCAAAACGACCCAACGCTTATGATGAAGGAAAATGATGGTGAACGCTATGACCGAGCTGAAAATAAAGTTTTCCAAATTTATTGATTCATTTCAGACAAACCTCAATGTCGAAAGAACGTCTCCAACACTCCAAGCCCATCGCTGTTGCGGAATAATCATGAAAGTGAGATCAGGAAGCGGCTCTCTCGGAACGACATCATGGATAACCGTCAGAAGGAAGAAATTGAGAAATGCTGAGAGCATCAAACACAGAAATGCGGTGAACGTCTTCAGCCCTTCAGAACTCTCGCTATTGCTGAACATGCCTTGATGTTCGATCTGAATTCGCAACAATCCATGAGACGTTTTATTTGCAATTGGTGGTGCATTGTGTTTTCTCGAAATTGATAGTTCGGCAGATGTCCTCATGAGAGAGAACAATGAATTGTTTGTTCGTCACACACAAAATTTTTTTCGACAAACGGTGCCGCACACACATACCCAATTCTTAACGATCTTAAGAATGTGTAGCTTGAAGCAAGTTCAAAAGTTTGCCGCTTTTACGTGATTAGCGAGCAAATAGAGTCCGAATACTTGTAACATGTTCAGAAACACTACTACCAAGTGCCCACATTGTTTGGTCATGAAAGGTTTTCTAGCAAGTTTTTGAGAATAATTTTTTTTTCTTCTCACATCTTATTAATGAATTGAAAAACAACAAATCAGGTGGCCTGGTACCATGTGGCAGTGACTTCCGATAGAGATTAATGATTGAAGATAAAAGTGCTATTGTAACATTTGACGACGACTTACTGCTTTTTCCAAACGCATCGATGATGGTTCCGGGTCGATCGGATCGATATTAATCGAAACACCATTGCAAATTCCCATACCGCGAGTCGACACCACCGAATTCAAAGATGGGTTAGGCGTCATCTAAAAAAACATCTCGTGTTTATTGTTTCTTTCTTCTCTCTCGTGTTTTCCACTTCAAATATCCGCATTGTTGCTTTTATTTCGATGGCAAGATAAAAAAAGCGAAGAAGCGAATACGAAGTGAACATATGTTGATTGGGTGAGCGATGGATGATAGGAAAAAAAAAAAAGAAAAAGGCTGTGGGCACGGCGAAAATTTTTCAAATGACGATATTGGGTAGCGATGATGATGATGATGAGGGGCGTTTCTGTTTTTGGATTCACCCATATTGTTGTAATGTTTTCCGTTAGACAAAATGAAATATTGTTTTTGTTTTTTATTATTATCAACATGACGAAAAGCAGCGTGGTTGGAGAGAAAAAAAATAGAGAGGATAATGGACGGACGCCGAGTAGTATGTCGAACCGAAAATGGACAAAAATGACACCAAGTGGATGAGGGCGAACGTGCAGCGAAATAGCATCTGCATAGCGGAGAGTTCGGCAAAATGGCGTGTACCGAGTTCGGGTAAACACATAAACTGCACAGTTACTCAAACACGCGTTTCAATGGTCACATTATTATTATTATGTGTCTACTATAATAAAGCGGCGATCACGACTTGAATTGAAAGCTTATAAGAAGGGGGAAGGATTAAAATTCTATCTATTCTTTTTTAAAGGGATCCGGAATTAACTATCATGTTTCAGTGATACATATCTCTTTTCAGGCACTTTGGCAAAAAAATCCGGGGAGCGGAATTGAAAATCATGCCCCGTTTTTTTTTCTTCGATTGTTTGCGATCATCATCATCATCGTCACAAATTTTATTATAAAACATTTTTTTCATTTCCTAGCGTATTTTCCAAAAATGGAAGCCCGACGCCAATATCGCATATGGAAAAAAAACAGCGGCCCACAGTTCCGCGTTTTGACATTCGGTCAACATTAATAGTTGAAACGAGATTTTACAAAAAAGAATCTATTAGAAGCAAGAAAAAAATCTAAAAGATCTGGATCGCCGAAAGATTCAACAATGGATAATTTGAAACTCTAACCAGCTAAATGAGAACAAAGTGAAAGTGAACACCTCATTTTTTTTTGGTGGGTTTTCTCAAAAAAAAAATGACGAACCTGCATGGATTCATTAGTTTCGGCTCCCGATTCTGATACCGGACGAAGAGGAACATTGCTGTCGCTTTGGTCTCGCCGGTGGCCACCCATTCTGTAAACCAACAACAATTGGCACTACTGTAATTCGCGATCGCAAAATAGAGAAAAAAGGCGTTAAATAATTCAAAGAGAAATTGCTCGAAAAAAACTGGTTCGCATTTTTCGTTCTTTTTTTTCGTGTTTCTCTTTTTTTTGAAGTATCGTAAAACGAGAGAATTTAATGAAATGAGCGATCGGCGAAGAAATAACAAAATTAAATGTAAGTGTGTCTAGACGACAGTCTCAGAGGCATTCATTAAATTTGCGGGAAAATGGGACGTGCCTATCAAAATGTTGTGTTCGATATTGCGGCGAGAAAAAAACAACAATATTGCCAAGTGATTTTTAGCTGATTAGAAATGAGCAAGCTGGTGTGATAATGTAATACAATAATAATTTTGATGAGGAAAAACCAATGAAAAGAATATATACAAATAGAAATTGCTGTTCACTTTTTTTGCGAGAAAGTTGGTATCACTCAGTTTGCTTTGTCTTTCAAGCAGAATGTTGGATAATTATTAGAAATTTTGTTTTGTAATGATTATGTAAATTTTTTTCCTAGGCAATACATTTTTTTCACAGCATTGTTTTTGTAGCTTGGTGTCTCGAAAAAGGTCGAGTATCATTTTCAATATACCATGTGGGGTGGAAGCGAATGTCAACATATCGAATTTAAAAAAATTATGAACATTTTGAGCGAACACTTTTGGACTTTCAAAAAAATTTTGTGGTAAACGTCAGACATCGACGAGCTTGTGATTTCCAGGTGCGAAAAATATATACAACTATATCACTAATCCACACTGTCATAGGAAGTCAATTCCAGAAAAGGATATTTAATAATCTACATGTGCTATAATTAATCAAAGGTGTATAATTTTAATCTCATCAGCTATGCAAGAAAAAAAACTCAACGCTCAAAATGTTAAAATTCCCAGCAAACAATTCGAATTCAGCCGAAACAAAAATCGAATATGTCAACAAAACGCCGAAATAATCACACCGGGTGGAGGCTATAAAAAGTTTGGTTTTACGTGAGTTCGCGACACAAAAAAACCGTGGGGTCAAAAATTTCGAGCGAATTTCAGGTGGCAGACCAAAAAAAATTCTTGTCTCTTCTTATTTTGGCTGTCTTCGCGCGGGGTAGTGTAAACAGCAGAAAATAGGCACAAAAGTGGAGCGGGTAGAAAATAAATGTACACACCGGCTGGCTCAGCCTCGTCCGCTGTCCCACACGTATGGTGTGGCGACGCGCAATTGCACCATAATGGATTATCTCGAAAATGAATGTATTTTTTTGTTGTGGCGGGTTAACGCGTTCTAGCCGATTTGTGGCTGCACTTCCGGCGATGAGCGTGCGCACGGCCACAAAATACAAAGATGGCACTGTTCAATGCGACAAGAGCAACAGACAAACAAATGGAATAAGAAAAAAAAAACATTGACATAAACGCAAGAAAAGCAATGCAGTAGCAGCACAGTGGCCGCGAACTAGAGTAGCAGCAGCAGGAGATACCTCTCTTTCGCGCCTGCCTCTTTTCGGTCTCTTCTCCTCAAATACTATTGTAAAATGTTGGTGTCCGCTCGGACAAATGCGTTGGTCATGTTACCAGAAGGAAGCAAGAAGGCGATGATGAATAAGACGCTTGTTGGATCTTGTTGCAGTTTCCGTTATAATACCTTACCGGTTCCCAATTCGCCTCCCGGTTTTTTTTTTGCATTTTCGCAAGTAGACGGGGTTGAAGTGGCTATTTCGAATTATTACTTTTCACTCGAAAATCTTCAAGGTTTCGAATTATTAACTAAAGTATTGGAAAATGGGAAAACGAGACACATTCGAGTTTTGGGGCGCTACTCAATAATCCATCTCATTCTTTGTTAACTTATAACAAAAGAATGAATAACGGCTTATTAGGCCTTTAGAAATTGAAATTTTCATATATCACATAACAAGGATGATGATTGCAAAGCCAGTTCTAGAATAAATCTCAACATGGGCAGATTTTGTCACTAAATTAGAGGGTTGGATAATGAAACCTTGTCCGTCGCCATTTTCCTAGTAATTTGAGGGTTGTGCGTAAAGAATCAAAAATCGCATTAACTTCGCAAAATCAAATTTTGTACTCAAAACGTCAAATGAAAACGTTGAAAGGCATTTTCCAAACAAGAACCTAAAATAAAGTTTTGAGAAGAAAATAACCCGAAAAATTGAAAATTCGTGCGATTGAAACCAACGCACCAGAAAGCGGAAGAACTCTTGAACACAAGGCCATTGACATTTTTAAATAACTTCTTAGAAAAAAAGTAGTTTCGGGTTTTTTTTAGTCAGCCAGGCAGAAACTAAATATTCCAAGCAGCAAGCAACCGTATTTCTGTTTTTTAACGATTGGCAAATTTGAATAAACGAAAGCAGAAAGGGAAACCGTTTTCCGAACATATCGATTTGCATAAAATAATAGAAACGAATGTTTAGTTTTTGACCTTGGTTTGTTCTTGGGCGTTCTCCTGAATTCAATCAATTTGAAATGCATTCATTGAACATGCGATTTTTGAAATTTAATGCTCAAAAGTTTCTAAATTGTTCTTAAATATATATACATCGATAAACTAAAAGTTCATGGGAAAAAAGACAAAACATTCATTCATATTGCCGAAAAAAATTCTGGGAATTGAAATTGTGGGAGAGTTTGTTTGGAAATTAAAACACAATCGAAATTCGCAACAATTCCTTCATTGTTTTGCGGCGTCCCATCGCGAAAACAAAGGAATTTGGAAATGCGTGGGAAGAGACAACGCGGATTGACGGATTTTATCAAATAATTTTGATTGCCTGCTTCTCAGTGGATGGAAAAATGTCAAACCCAATCAAATTCTATTGGTCACACCTCAATCGTTATTTAATAAAAAAGTTACACTGTAATGGGGGTAATTGTGTGTTTATTGAAATCTGATCATAAGATAAGTTGGATGATCTATAGGAATCGGATTAACTTCTCAAAAATGGCTCAGCTTTCAGCTAGTTTTTTTTTTTGAATCACTTAAAATTTTGATTTTTGTAACGTTACACATTGACTCATGTTTATTGTCCTAATAAGCATTTCGTTGAGTTTTTGAGACATTGATAACTATCTGAAATCGGCAATAAAAAATGAAAGCTGAATTTTCTTGTAAGCAGTACAGGTGATTTATTTTCTGGTTCCCAATGAGAAAGGTGCTTTTCTTAAACCAGGCAAAATCCAGGAACTAGAAAAGAATGCTCGGAGATTACATGAAGTATTTAACAATTCATATTCAGAATATGAGCAAACAAGTCTTCACCATAGTAAATGATTAATCATACTAATTGAATAGAAATTATTAAATATTGAAAATGAATAAAAAATTAAAAAATGTGAGCTACAAGTCTTTTTTTCTTTGATGAGGAATTAGATTTCCATTTTAAAAAATTATATATATATATTTTTTAGAATATAGAGGTGTGGGATTTAGAAACAGTTCGATGAAGAATTCATACTTGTATTTATATGTGCATTGCACTTTCTAGTGGGTCTGTTTTTTTCTGGTTACTGTACTCTATGAATTTGGGCAAAAACAGACAACGCAATAAATTATATAGTAGGACGCCAGAATTTGAATGCATAATACTCGCTTCTAAAGACTTCAAGGTCTCGAAATTCAAAAAAATTATGGGGGGGGGTGGCGCGTTCGCAAGAATAAATATTTAGTAGTTGGAGTTTGTTTTGCTTGCCAAAATAATGCATCAAATACACGTAAAAATAAATAAACACGTTGTGCACTAATCGGTGGAGCAAGGAGTTGTGGCGAAATCAATTCGGACCTTATGACCGTCGATGACAACATTGGACAGCGCTCGTATGGCCTACAAACAGGAATTGTTTTTGGTTGATTATCCACAAAAATATTTACGTTTTCCGCTTCGGTGATTGTCCGCAAATAAACAAATCCGAAACCGCGACTCCTTTGATTATATCTATCGCGAATAATATTGATCTGAAGAGCGGAGAGGGGGTTATTGAATTGACCCGGAAATAATCAAAAACCTTTTCAATCTTGCCGAATTCTTGAAATATCTCATATAAATCTTTTTCGTCGGTGAATTGACTCATTCCAAAGACGCCAACGCACCTGTAAGAATTCATTTTCAATTATTTGTCTAATTAAATATTTGTAATTAAAATACCTGCATGGTTTTACGGTAGGTGGTACGCTGTTGTTTTTACGTTTTCTGCAATAAAAAATGAAAACAAAATTGCCAGATTTCGCAACATTCTCTCAACTAGCCACCCCCAAAATTTTTTTGCAATCAGTGTCAACAGATGGGTCAAGGAAACAGATATCAATTTACTTGTAGGTGGCTGCTCATTGTGCACCTGGTGTCAAAATGTAATTACTATGTGCTTGAAGGAATTGACTCTTGCTAGGTTGCTATCAATATATGAAACATCCTGCAATTGCCGTGCGTTCAAAGATAGTAATAATGCGGGTGTTCAACGTTTTCAGAGATCGTAGATTTTCGCGCCAATCTCAATCAACTTTTTGAATTAAATACAATGCTTTTCTCCGGCTTTTCCTGTTTCGAAAATGAAAAATGCTTGATTTCTTCTATGTTCAAGGGTTTGGTGTTCTGTTATTACAAAGGAAAAAATAGGCAGCAACATCTGCCTTAAATAAAACTATAATTATTAAAATTTCCATGCTTCTGTCGTTTCGTTCGAATAGTAATAAGTTTTTTCAGCAACATACCTTTTAATTGACGATTTCTTATCTTTCTTCCGCACTTGGTAATATCGCACATTTTCATTAATAGAATGACAGTTGGTCAGAGTATTTGCGCTCCTTAAACAAGACCAATTGATCAGGGGATATTGTATTTGATTTCATATACTTATCAGTTTTCAACTAAAAAATTATATTAAACATCCTCCACGACCACTGAAATATTTGTCGCGGTTTTTAATTTCAATTTTTATTTTCGTGTTCTTTTCGCATTCTTTTATTATAAAACGAATTTGAAATAAAATAATGCTGAAGTGAAATCGAATTTTTACTAGCGTTCAAATCTCTTGGGATTTCATTTCGCGTACCACATTTATCTTTTAATTTAAAATTCACGACAGACACGGGGGACCACTTTTCGATGAATAATTCGTATACTTGGAGCATTTGAATACACAATATGTATCCCATATTTAAGAGTTATTCGCACAAGTAACCAGATATCGAAAAGATACAAAAGCTTCGGTAAAAATAAAAGGGTACAAATATTTAAAAAAAAAAAACCTAGTTTATGTGAAGATAGTAAAATGAGCCATCACGTGTGACGAGATCGTAGCGATAGAAATCACTTACCTGGCCAAGAATATTTCAGAATTGATATTGCTAAAACAAGTTAGGTCAATATCAGATTTTATTTTTTACGAAAATTTTCCTAGGCGAATTTGATGTATAGTATAGTTTTGCATATGTTTGGTACGTAGTCAAATCCTAAATTATATTGTGAGACGATGCGAAGTTTAAATTTTCAGTGATTCGATTTTTTGCTGTCCCCGAGAAGATTTCGGTTTTCACCAAAATGCTATTTTGCTGAAATCAAAAAACTTGAACGTGAATGAAAAAACTGACCTATCGTCATTAGCTTTCGAACATTCCGCCACTGAATTGCTTCTTAATGTACTCAACGCCTCAATCGTTTTGCAAGAATTTTCCTAAAATTTTGATCCACTCGGTAGAAAAAAAATTTCAAAATCTCATCCTCACATTTTCACATTGCGCTCGATTCTCGACACTATCATAAAACTTGAGTATCTCACGCTTGTTTTGCAGCAGAAACTGTTGAACATTTGTGCAGAAAAAGGGCATTGGAAATTTGAGAATTCTGCAAGTAAAGATTCGTGTCAGAATCATCGAACAACGACGAAATATGTCTCTGTGTGTGTGTGTGTGTAGCGATTAAACACGAAACACAAAGGCGAAACGAATGAGAAAAAATTGTGTTGGTTCGTGAACGGCGCTGCTCGCGAATATTACAACATGCCAAGAAAATAACTGCAGGACACGCGCGATCCGAAATTTCGATTAGTGCAATTGATGCTAAAATTTCGGACTAATATTTCAATATTCTCTCATAACGAACCCGAAACGCCATCTGCTTCGATATCGCAATAATAGCCATTCGCTCTGAAATGCGCCAAATGTTCGCCGATTCCGAAATGTGTTTCAAATGTCGAAAATCATTTCCGCAAAAATCCAATTATCACTGTTTTTCTTCTCAAAAGCATCTTTTTGAAAATTGGAAAATTGAAAAACGTACAACATCATGTCAACGTGAAAAAAAATCATGTTTTTATAACTTAATTCCTTGTTTTTTTTTCATCCGAACATACTCGTAGTATTTAAAGCACTACTCTCATAATTCTCCATGCTTTTTATCTATTTCTCATGTGGATTAATGAGTACTGATAGGCAAAAAGATATTCTCTGTATTGTGATAAATATATTATTATTATTGTCAATCTAGTTTCCGGTTTCTGATTGAATACTATGGTAATATGCAGATTTGGGCGAATAACTCAGAAGACCGATGAAAATCGTACACAGATTGCCGAAAAATTAATTTTACTAAGTGTTTTAAGTTTTTTTTTGATGAAAAATTCGTAGTACTATTCGCTACACTTGAGAAAATGGACAAAATGTAGTAAAAAAAATGGTGATTTGCACTATGGAGGTTACTATTTTTTTATCCGCAATAATTTTTTTCCCTTTTTTCCAGTTTCAGAAATTTTTTTCCAGATATATAGCGAATTATAAGAATTGCGAGTGTGGATCACAATTTGTAACTTCTAGATGTTTTTTTTAATGAGATCATAATTCTATTGTAACGCAATAAATCACCAATATTTTATAATGAAAACACCCCAATTTAAAATGTATTAAAAACTGAATTTTTGTTCTGTTTATTGACTGGTATGCCTTATTTGGGCACAACAACGCTTCGGAAAAACAGAGGAAGATAATTTCATATATTGGTGTAAACCAGCAGTTTTTGCCAACCATCTCATAATTTTGATATAATCGAGATATTAAATAAGCACCTAATAAATACGGAAGAAAATGTTTAAATTTTTGGATTTCCCATACGTTTTTGGAATTGTTGAACATATGTTGCTAATGTTTCAAACGTCAATAGAGAGCACTTGTATAGCTCATATCCCTCTTAATTGAATTTTGTAAGGCTTCGCCTAAACTCGATATTTTTTTTTCGCCTAATATGAATGTGATTTATAATTCATTGAGAAACGTCGTGTCAAACGTATTCATTGCTCGCAAAATCAATGCTCTTGATATTAATCACTGTGTCGCGATTTTTTTCCACAGTCGGCACTCATGCATGCCCAATTCAAAAACTTTTAAGTGGTCTATTTGTTTATATCAAGCAATTGATTCTCGATTTTCTCATGCCTTTTCTGTTCAATTGTTTTGCGTCTTATAAAAATTCTCGGATTAACTTTTCTCGTGATTTTTTTAAAATATGTAATCTTCATATTCTCTTATGCATTTATGCTCCCCATTTTTTGCATATCCAATTATTATGTGTGTGTGTGCATATTTACTAGGAAACGAGCTTGCTTATTTTGCTTCTAATAAAAATCCCATCATTTATGGTTACTGTATCTAATGGGATTTGACAAAATAAGCGACGATCTTGGGTTGTATAACTCGGATAAAATGCAGTTTGCTCATTGCGCAGTTCCAAGTATATCTGATTGCTATAATTAAAATCTGAACGAAGATATATTCTACTAACTCCCATTTAAAGAAACACGAAATTTTAATTGCAACAAAACTTTCGCTATTTACACCTTTTTTGGAATATTCTTCGTGTTTATTAAAATACCAAAGGATTGAGCAGAAGATTTATGTCATCCTTATTGGAACAATTTTCAAATTTCAGCAAAGCATATACTTTGTGGGTTGAAACGAAATGGAAATCACTGAAAGTTAATCTATGATTAATTAATTGTATTATAAGCTTATTTATTCGCCATTCACTAATATTTTCTTTGAACCTTGATTAGATTTCTAATATCTTCATCAAACTTCTTCTAAATTTAGAAACTTGGAAATTTATTTAATAATAATAATTATTATTAATTAAGGTTGGCCATTATTCGCATTGTTGATACTGGAATCAATGTTCGAAAATTTCCCACGTAAAATAAGTAATTGAATAATGACGTTGAAACAGAATTAACTCCATTCTAGTAATTGAATACATCAGCAAATAAATTAATTCGATTGGCAAAATATCAATTATAAATAATATTTTCCAATATTAATTTTTAAATAGGAAGATTCAGAACAACTACTATAACGTTTCATTCGAACCCTAAAACCATTTTTCATTTTTTTTTAGTTTTAATATGATTAACGATGTCCAAACCAGCAAACTACTAAAATATTGCTTTAATTTTGTCTTTTACGAAATTTGCTAAGAAAAATATATGCGACCCGTTTTTTTGCCATTGTTTCGCAGTTGCTACGTTGTTTAAAAATTCATTTCAGTTTTTTTTCCATGGACTTTAAACGCAGACATGTTTTCAAGAGAATAAAGAGCAAGTCTGAAAAACGTGTATTCAATCGTTTATACTTTATCCGCTAATCCTTTTTGAATATTTGAAAAGAGCATAACTAGAAATTATATTCAGAGAGGGGTTCATTGATTTTTAAAGGAACATTGCAGAGTTCAAAATGATGCAAATTATGAAATGAACAATTCGTGCAATTTAGTGACTCATTGTTTAATGCCCGGCTGCACTTTCCAGGTCTAATTATAACCATCATAATCGCTATTAAGCATTGCGGTCCAAGAGTTCAGATCAAAGGAAATAATGACTTATTGCGAACGTGAAAATTCATGCTTATTCAATTCCAGATTCGCGTGATTACAAGAAAACAAGGTGATTTTGGAAATGTTTATTATTTATTCAACTTATTGCATGATTATTTTCAAGAAAATTGTTTCTTCTCAAAATCACAAGCGAATTTTCAGTTTGCAGCTCAAATTACATTTATTGCCATTTTGGCGAGAGAATTTGTCAGCAAATGCCAGATATAATTGAGTGGTTCAAATGCCATAATT